TGTAAAAATCAATCCTCTCACGTCCAACCTCTTCCCCCACGCCCCCATTCCCCAGGTACCCTGGATTCCATTTCCGGTGCCCCGCCCCCGAACCCTGTCCCCGCGCGCCCCTCACCCGCGGATGGTGCGCCAGAGGATCTTGGAGGGCGCGCGGAAGTGGAAGGGGCCCTTGGAGGGCTTGGTGTTCATGCGCTTGCGCAGGAAGCGCAGGTACTTCATCTTCTGGCGCACCAGCCCGCCCGACAGGCAAATGTCCTCGCACCGCACCACCACCTGCAGCGCGGAAGGCGCCCACGGGGGAGAGGGGGGGGTGGCAGGGGGGGAGATACGGGGCATGCGGGGAAATATGGAGGACGGGATGGGGGAGGGAGGGAATGGGGTTGATTCTAATGGGTGAGCGACAGGGAAATGCGGGGTGAGCGACGGGGGGAAGTAAGGGTGAGCGACAGGGACATGAGGGGCGAGCGACGGGGAAAAGGCGAATTGGCAAATTGCAGACTTCGGGGAAGCCAGGAGGTGGCTATGAGGCGATAAGGAGAACCTCCAAACAGAACGATGAGGGGCAGGGAGGAATCTAAAGAACAGCCGCGAAAGGACGACGCGAGATACAGCTGGGATGGTTTGAAATGCCTAGGCGGAAACATACACAAAGGGCAGCTCCTAATGGCACCCGGAAACAATGCGCAGGGACGAGTGGCGATAGAGACATGACATGACATGGCGAGCCTATCGAACGCAAGAGCGCGCAACGCATCGGTTATTCTAATGGCAGATCGGGGGTGAGCCTGGTCGGATCGACGTGCGCACGGTTTCGGGTCATGGCGATTGTTAAGACACGTCCAGACCAGCTGCGTAAGGATGGTTGGTGGAACACGTCAAGAACGGACCAACCGTTCCGCCTAGGATCCGACTCGACATGCCGCTGGCTGATACAAACTGGACTATAAGAATAGAAGAACCTGTGGCGTCCGAGGGGTTGGCAGGGCAGCTGCAGCGTGCCAACAATACGGTAGGTCTGAGGTGATCGTCACGGCATGCCAACAGATGAGAGCCACGAGGGCGCTGCGGGTCGTGAACCTCTTCCTGATAACTGCGGGTAACAGCCTCTGAGACGGCTGAAAAAACTACGGGTCAGATGCCGCTGTCCAGTGCATTGACAGTATATACCATGCGTTCGTACAAAAGCAATCAGGAATCGGCCGGCGGAATGGAGGTCGCGTCTCGGAGCCAGTGCTGTTTAAGGAATCTTATCTCTCGCCTGTCGAACGAAAACCCTAATTATGGTCTGCGTCAACGAATGTCCTAGCGACGCCACGCCGCTTACCACATGTTGTCCGTTAAGAAGCTCCTTAGCGATGATCGACGCGAGGCGGCCCAGCATGTGGTGGCGCGCATCCACCACCACCGTCTGTTTGATGATTCCGCTGCCGGAAACCATGGCGGCTAACTCGGTGAGGGGGAGGGGAAGAAAAGACGAAGTGAAAAGAGGAGGCAGGGAGGGATGAGGGTTGCCTTAGAGACAGCGAGGGGAGGAGGGAACAAGGGGCGACGGGGAAGGTGGCGCTGGGAAGGGGAGATGCGGAATGAAATTGCGGGGGTATGGTTTGCGGGGATGGGGTGAAGTGACCGATGGTTCCGATTGCTTTATAAGGAATCACTCGTTTCGTCTGTAGGTAGTGTATACATATTATTTCATTGGGCTTAGGTTCGAGTTCTGCGGATAGAACGATAGCGAAGTCCATAGCGTGACCAAACTTTAGCGACAGCTCTTAGGCGAAAAGAGAGTCACCCTTTGTCAGGGGCAGACGTTGTTGGGGTTGTTGGCAGGACGGATCTGGTCTGGCTTCCTTGATTGAGTGTGCTGAATCAGCATGTGCTGGCATTGCTTTGTTCCAGCCAGCTACTCACGTGCGGACACCTCCTCGGGCTTCCATTTCGCATTGGTTCACGCATCCGAGATGGCGTGGCAGACTTTCATTCGGTGTACCCTTAGGCATTCGAGGTATTTCATTGCTGCACCTTTCATTGGTCAGGAATCCCGGGAAAGCATCATGAACTTCCAGGGAGAGCTCAGCTCATTGGCGGATGCACAATCAATCAGAATGGAGCCGCGAATCACGAATCGCGAGGGGGCCGCGTTTCCAACTTTTCAGCACTTTTCCACTTCTTCCTGAATTATGAATCTTGCCTGAACCCGGACTAGAGTTCCGCTTTATGTGCACAGTATACTCCTTCCTAAGCCTTACCGGCAACTAGAATCCCCGCCCTAACCCCCACACCAGCCGGGCCGCAGGCAACCCTGCCCACCTGCCTCTCGTGGGCGTTTTTTGTTTCCGTGTAATTGGTAAGGGCATGTAGATTTATTGCATTCGCACTCCTGCTTCGAGGGACAAAGTGGAGAGAGATTAGAGAACTAAGCTCGAGTACTGCTTTCTGCTCACCTTGTTTCTCTCGCCTCCTTCTGGTTGCCAAGATATTCGCACCGTTCAGACTCGTTCTCGTGCGAGACTGAAAGGCGTAGACTTCTTACAGACTGTATACACTTCACCCACGAAATGGCTGCAATTGCGCAAGTAGCGGCGGGAAGCGCGGTCACCACACTGCGTTTCACGAGCTCATCCAGCAGCTTGTTCGATAAGAGCAGATTGCCACTGCTTACAGCGGGACATCGCGCGAGGAGCAGGGCGAGCAGTCGTCGTCACGTGCCGTTGTCACAGCGCATCACCGGCAAGATGGTTATCCCAGGTACGCATGCGACGCGTGCTGTTAGGGCTGCCAGCCTAATGGGCCTAACAAAGTCCCTCCGCACTCCCGTACCATACGACGCCATGCCATGCAGGCTCAATGTTCACTCTTAACTAATCTTCCCAACTCCATGCCCACCACTCTTCCTTAACTAATCTGCATGCGCCCGCTGCGCTCCCCGTCGCGCCGCGGTGCTCCTAACGGCAGGGTTCGGCGAGTCGCCCGAGGCGAGGTCGGCGGGGGCGCTGCACAACTTCTTCACCTACATCGCCGTGCGCATCGTGCTCTCGCAGCTGCAGGTGCGCGCGCGGGGAGGAGCCACAAAACCCACGCGTGGGGGGGAAGGAGAGGGGGAGGGGGAGGGGGAGATTTTAGGGGTGTTGGGGGGGAATGGGTTTTGGGGCTGTGAGTTTTTGCGGGTTCAATTCTCGGAGTCCGATGCGATCATTGTGATGACCTACGAACCTGGATCTTATCCGTGATGTCCTGATGATCTTGACCCATGAGATCCCGCCCGGGGCGCTGGCCTCGTTGACCCATGTCAATCGCCCGCCGCCTCTCCATCGCCTTTTCTCCTCGCCCCTCACCTCCTGCCGTCGGTCCCGCAGGCGTACAACCGCGAGGGGTACGCGGAGCTTAAGGAGTTCACGGACCGCGTGCCTCTTAAAGACGGCGACCAGTTCTGCGCCACGCTCATGCGCGAGAGCCCGCAGCACAAGAAGTTCGGTACGGATAGGGACAGGACGTTGCTTAGAAGCAAGCAGTCACGCGTGCGCACCTCGGTACGGAACGGAGAGGAAGCGGGACAAGTGGGTGAGAGCCATGGGACGGATGATGGTGTAGGAGTCGAAACTGGGGTAGGAGGGTAATGGTGATGAGAGTTGCACACGGTGGTCTGTGAACGGGTTCCTGAGCCACAATAGGTTGTGTTGCGCAGCAAAGCAAGGCGTGGTGATCTGTAAAGCTCTCTGTTCGTTCCTCGCAGTCACCAAGTTCTCTCTCATCCTCACCCTCTCTTGCTCTCTTCCTCTCTCCCCCTCTCCCTCTTCCCCTCTCTCACGGCCCACCGCGTGATGAACCATCCTTCACCGAATCCTCCGTATAATCCGTGGCGTGGCTCGGCTGTTGGCAGCAATGAGAATTCTCGAGGTACGTCACGCACTGTAAACGCTGGGTGATCCTCGGTTGGTTAACCGCTTCTGTCCTGTCTGTCTAGTTCCTGAGAGGGAATGATGTGTGTGATGGCAATAACAGAATGTCTCGCGCGTCTGCATTCTGTTCTCTTCCCATCGCTTTGCTATGCATGCCAGGTTCGGCAAGCGTATGCTCTGGAGGACTTTGAATGGGAGAATCTCCGATATGTGTCTCTCAAGGTGGGCGCTGTACATGTGGCTTGGTGGCACTATGTGGCACCATGTGGCACGATGGCATGTGGCATGTTGGCATGCGGTCTGTTGGCATGGCGCTTTAGTGGCATGGTGGCATGGCATGCATCATGATATGTTGAATTTGTGGCAATAACGCATGGTGGATGCATGCGTTGAAGCCATTTGGAACAAATCTCTTGAGTGCTTGTGAGTGAACACGGGGCTTCTTAGATTACCATAGCATTCGTCTCCCTCCAGGCTTGTACAGTACCGTAAGAAATCCCATTCACCTGTTATGGTATCCAGGCACCCAGTTTGATGGCAGCCGTTTGAATATTGATGTTTTCCTTGTTATCTCTGTCCCATCCCATGCATGCTCGTGCTACCAGCGAATGGAGGAGGGCAACAAGCAGCTCATGCGAGATTTCCTCATGGAGACCAGCCGCTTTGACTGAACCGGCTTCTTTTGTGCACAGCCACGTGACATTCTGCTGTCACAACAGCTTGGTTTCTCAGGAGTTCGAATTCATTTTGTAGTTTATAGCCCACCCAAGAAGGTGTCAGTGTATAGTCTCCAACTGTATAGCCATATCAGTCCTGTAGGAAAACAGTTAGGTTGGGCTTTGTTGCACAGAGCAAAACCTTGGTATCACTAATTTCCTGCAGAATCACATGCTCTTTTACCATACCTTATTCCTGTACAGCTGAAACAATGCCCTTTTACAAACCCATCAGGTTGGCACAAATTTCGAGAGAACGCCATATTTACAAACACGACAACACCAGCACCCATTGGAACTGCCAAATACCATGTGTTCAACTTAAGCAGCAGCAAGCAACAATAGCATCTCCGCAGCAACACCGGCCATCTGAAGCCCAACAGCATCATCACACCTCAGCCGTGGCTGCCGCAGAAGCTGCAGCAGCCACTTCAGCGTCCCGTTGTTCCAGCTTCCAGGCACGCACCACATCAGCAGCCTCCCTGTCCCCCAACAGCATATCCACCTCCACCTCATGGGCCGGCAGGTAGCAAGCTGAAACCCCAACCGCCTGTGCCAGCTGCAGCAGCTTGAATAACGCCAGCGAGCTAAGGTTGGTCCCTGGGGTCTTGAGACAGTCTGAGACTCGGTCTGTGAGCATGGTGAGGAGGAAATCCACTTTCTCCAGGCCCTTGACCAGCTTGCCCGTGCTATCAGAAAGGCTGCGTGCAGGCCCCTTCATCCTCTGCACGCCTTCCAACACCTCTCCCTTGTCCCGATAGATTGTGAGTGCCTGGGCTGCCTTGTTGGCGTAATTTATAGAACCACCAGCACTCGCACCAGCTGGCACATCCAAAGAGGGGCACAGAGCGAACATGGTGAGGGAGAAGAGCAGGGAGGTGGAATTATTGGATAATGACAGGAGGGAAACAGGGGGTGAGAACCGATAGAAGGAAGCAGGACACGAGCCTGGCATAGAAATCTCGAAATGATCGACAGGAGTATTATCATGACGAACAATGGGTCATAATCGCACAAGGGGTCTCACCTCCTACCACGGCTGCAACACCAGCACCGACACGAGCGCCAGAAATGGCAGCGCCAGCGATGATGGCAGGTGCCTCGCACATGATCAGAGGAGCTCCAAGCAGCAAGAGAGCCGCCCCGCCAAACCCAAGCCAGAAGCTGCGCTTGCTGTCCCGCTTCTCCCGCTGGTAACAGAATAACAACCGCCGATTTTTTTGTAAGGGGTAAAGGCAGCAAGTGGGATTAAAACGAAAAAGGAGAACACAAAGAGGAAGTTCGAGGGGAGAGAAGGAGAAGAAAATATAGAGGAAAAGGATACCACACAGCCTCGACACAAAAAAAAAAACCACTCGACACTCGCCTTGTCCAGCTCGGCCATGTCGTTAAGTGTCTCGACCTCTGTGCTCTTCAGCTTCCGTGACGCCACGGCCACAGCCCCACCAGAGCCTGTCAACAGCCTTGACAGCTGCTTGCTTGTTTTGGACACGGCCTCGACTCGTTCTTCGAGCTTTTCAATGCACGCCTTTATATCCTCCTGTGAGGGATCAGGCTCGGCTGCGTCAGCGAGAAGAAGGAAATGGGAAGCCAAGGAACAAAATGAGACATAGTGAGTTTTAAACTTGAAAACGGAAAAGCACGTTTATGCGATGACGAATCCTTGGCTCACCAAAGAAGCGAACGCTAAGCAGACTCTTTACTGTAAATATAATATGACCTAAACAGCTCGACCTCTTTCCGCTACGGCTCAACCTGTTTCCGTGAACAAACACATAACAGTCAAGGCGTCATGGTTTTACTGACCGAAACATAGGTCGGAGAGAGCAGCGAGCTGAAAAATCAGAGAGTTCAGCTCTGGCACGAAGACGTGGTCAAAAATTGCTGCTGACTCCGCCGTCCTCGCTACCGCTTGGCTGAGACCAGGACAGGCGGCAACGGCCGACGGACTAGACACACACACGGCTTGCAGGTCCCGGGCCGGTTTAAGATAGTCGTTGAAAGCGACGGATACAAAGCGAATTTTCTCCGGGAGTGCCTGGAGCTGCATGGCTTCTTGATTGCCATGAGCAAAAACGACGCTGCTCTGACGCGGCTGGTCCTGCTGATGCTGGGAAGCTATTACTTGTGGGAACGACTCATCAGCTGGCAAAAAAAGGTCCTCGACTACCAGCTTCGCCATTTCGCGGGCGACAACAAACGTTGCAGGATTTTTTTGAAGGAAACCGGAATCTGCTTGGGGTAACGCACTGCAGGTATTCTTCCCAGCCCAGCTATAAACACAGGCAGGTGGAAGCGGAGTAACTCTGAGGTCGACTATTGACGCACCTCAATAGTCGGCAAAGGGACGAGGTCGAGGGATACTAGCGACTTGGGAGGAATATGCAAGCAGACGATAACAGCAGAGAAGGGATGTGATGTGATGGGGTGGTGAGTTCCGAAAGTACGAATTAGCACAACATCCTACTAAACCATTATGAATTCTGAATGACCGCTTTGGAACGTTGCGAACCGCATTCGCACAAACTTTTGGGGCACACCGTCAGCTCGTTTTGGTTTGCCCCAGGTTGAGAGGGCAGAGGCAGCGTGCACAGCAAGGAAGCACTCCGCCAATGCGTAGTGCGCAGTGAACACTCGGCCGGTGCGCCAGTCCCGCGTGTTCCAGCGCGGGGACGCGCACTGGAATTCGCGCGGGGGAAATGCTCCAGGGTGCGCGGTGACGTGCGGGGAAAGGTCGATATTACCGAGGCGAACTGGAGCCATGCGTCGGTCTGGGTCGGGGTCGCGGGGGAGTATGCCGCAGGGGGGGACGGGGTGGTTGGGACGGGGTAGCACAAAGCTATGCCAACTGCCCACTGGTCATTTGTGTGGTGTTCCGTGACAGGGACTTCTATAATCGATTTAATTCCTCTAATGATAATCCCTAACGCACGCCAGAGATGACCACCTGGCTGTATTAATATACTCCTTATGCCACCACCATCAGCAGTACCCATCACCCTAAATAACCTCCCGGGGAAATCGGGATATTACCCACACTCCTTGGTGCCCCAAGAGCTCGCATCCCCAACCTGTGAACAGCAGCGACACCACCACCACCACCACCATGACCCAACTCACTCCCATCCACACCGCGTGCCCCAATTCCTCCCCCCACCCCTCCACCCACCACTCTCCTCTGCACGTGATTAGGCAGCAGCATTGTATCCACTGAAGAAGTTCTCGCAAGGGGGCTACGGCCAGCCAGAGGCGAGGCGGAGATGGGTGTGTTCCCTCCAGAAGGGCTAGGAGACGCAGAGAACGACCCAGCAGCAGCAGCAGCACAACCCTCACGGTGCTTGCTCACTCGCATCTGCTCTGGTGACTGCACCCCTCCCCTCCGCACTCCCAACCCACCAGCACCGCTCAACAAAGGACTACGACGCACCCCCCCTCCTCCTCCACCTCCCATCCCCACTCCCTCGTACCCTTCCGTCCCTCCTCCCCCTCCACCTGCTCCTCCTGCGTACGCATCATAATCATCACCAGCAAAGCCCCCAGAACCCACCTCTCCACCTGCTCCTCCCAGCAAGAGCTCCTCAGTGAGTGTGCTGTGCCGCCGCCGCGCCGGCTGCTGCCCCTGATGGCCGTGATGCCGTGTGCCAGGGAGAGGAGGGAGCGGGTTGGAGGAGGCAGCAGCGTCTGTGTAGCTGTCTGTGAAAACCGACGGTACTCCAACTTCGGACACCCCCATTCCCACGCCTGATGACGCAAACCCCCCACTGCTCTCACCCTCGTCACTGGCGCTGCGACCAGCTGCTACGTGCCCACTGCTGCCACCGCTGGCACTGCTGCCCCGCTCGCCCCTCTCCCCCATTCCCAGGCCCTGCTGGAAATCAGACGACGTGCGGAACAGCGGCTGTTGGCCCCCCCTGGGGAGATCCTCAGGTGAATCCAACAGAGCACCTGGCCTCAGCCTGCCTTGACTCGCACCGCTGCCACCGGCCACACTCGGCATTCTCTGCGGCGAATCAAAAGGTCTCGGCAAGCCCACACCGCTGCTGCCCAGAGCGGACGAGGAGTTGAAAGCCGGGCGCTGCCTAGCAGCACTAGAGCCAGCAGAGCCAGCACCAGGACCTAAATCCGCAGACATAGTGCGAGTTAAAGACATCCCGGCTCCAGATCGGGCCACTAAAGTCGCCTCTGCTGAGAGCATTCGCGGCACAGGTGCATGCCCAAGCCCCCCTGGAGCGCCCATTCCGCCCCTGAACCCCCCATCCCCACTATCTGGCCTCCTCCAGCCTGCCACGTCAGCATCTCGGGCAGAAAAAGAACCTGTAGAGGAGGATGGTGGGTAGAAGTCAGTGGGAGGCGAGTAGGGCCGATAGGGCTGTCCGGAATGAGTGTGGCTTGGGGAATCAGAGAGTAGCCTCCGGAGGGGAGGCATGGCTGCTGTTCCCATGTGACCACCACTGGAGCTAGCAGCACCACCGCCAGCAGCACCAGCAGCAGCAGCAGCACTGGTACTAGCACCATTACCACCACCAAGACTGAGACTGACAGGAAAGCGCGGGCCGTTACCAGAGGGGTAAACTGCAAACGAGCCGCTGTTGCTGTTGCTGCTGCTGCTGCTGCGGCTGCTACCGAAGGAGTTGCTGTGGCTGTGAGCAGCACTGGCGGAAGCAGAGGAAGAGCTTGCAGCACTTAAGCCCACAGCAGCAGCAGCAGCAGCAGCAGCATGAAGTGTTGTTTCCAACAGAGAGCCGGGATGCGGGGAAGGAGAGCGGCGGGTCAAAGTCACGGGAGCGCACGCGTGAGAGCGACGCGCTGTCGAGTGTGACGGTGCGAACAAACTGAGGGAGAGACTCTGCCACTGACCGGGCTGCAGCACCCCCTGCTCCCATCCCCTTGCCTTGCACCCCACCACCCTCCGCCCCTCCTCCTCCTCCACCTCCTATGAACCCTGCTCTTGTGGCAGCAGCAGCACCAGCACCACCACCAGCAGCAGAAACAGCAGTCAAAGACGATTGTCTGGGGGGCCTTGTGCCTCGATCCAAAGTGGCAACTCGCATGTACATATCTGATGCAGTGGCACCAGCAGCAGATGCAGTGGCACCAGCAGCAGCAGCAGAACCAGCGGTATCATAAGGCGCAGGATCAAAGGACCTAGACCGCTCAACATATGACCCCAGATTCATCCCGCCGGCCCCACCTCCCAAACCTGGTCTGGAGGTTCGGCGAAAACTGTTCAGGTCCGGGTCCAAGGGACCCATGCTTCGCATCTTGTGCAGATGGCGAGAGGGCAGGCTGTGAGGGGGAAGGTTACTAGAGGGCAGGCTGTGGGCGGGTGGGAAATGGGAGACGGAGCCTAGACGTGCACCATCTTCCTCCTCCTCCCCCTCCTGCCGCTGCTGCAGCAGCTGCTGCCTCTGCTGCTCATGGTGATGGCGATGATGGTGTGATTGCAAGGTTTCTGGGGGCTGGGACAGGTGGCGATGGTGGTGGGGGTGGTGAGGTTGCAGGGAGGTCTGAGAGGCGAGGCGAGAGGAGTGGTCTCCTCGAAGGACCTTCCACGGATCAAACTGCACAGCCAGGGACACAACACACGGGGAAAGGGTGAGCTGAATCGCTACACGTGCAGCGTTTGACTTTACACTCAGACTCAATAGTCTCCTCGAAGGACCTTCCACGGATCAAACTGCACAGCCAGGGACACACGGAAGGGGTGAGCTGAGTCGCTACAATGATGGAGAGGGATGCGATGGGGTGGGGTGGGGTGGGGCGGGGCGGGGCGGGGCGGGGCGGGGTTGGGGGCTTGGGGTGCAGTGGAGTTGGGTGGGGTGGTGGTGCTACCTACCTGGCAGTTGGGGCAGCAGAAGCTGCGAGTGAGGGGGTCTTCTTGGAGGCTATCCAGAGCGCACGTTTGGCCGCACACACACCCGAACCACACCTCCTCCTCCGCCTCCTCCTCGTAGTGCTTCAGCCCACCCTGCTCTCGTTGCGCGCAATATAAGTGCGTGTACGGGCGGGGGAAAGGAGAGCGCAAAGGGGGGGAGGAAGGGAGGGGGGGAGGAGGGGCGGAACGAGACCGGGGGGAAGGGGGAGATGGTGGGAGGAGGGAAAGGGTGAGGGGGTTTGAAGGAGGAGAGGTGCAGGTATTAGTGGCAAGGCAAGAAGCATGACGGCAATGGTGAGAATGGACTGGTACGAATCAAGGCGAAAGCATAGTGGAACTGGGACAGGGAAAGGGAGAGGCCCCATGGGAGAGGAAACCGGGGATGATGGGAAGAGGAGCAGCGGGCAGGACAGCAGGAGCAGCGAGGATGAAAACTGGCAGTGATGGTGCAGTGAGTGCGGAGGGAAGGAGTGAGTGACTGACCTGGGCGGAGAGGCAGGAGGCGCAGTCCAGCAACCCCTTGCTCAGGCGCATGCCCACGCAGGCAAAGTGCGACCGGTGCCCGCACTCCCACGCTATCACCGGCGCCTCTCTGATCGCCAGCTCGCACGTGCTGCACCGCTCCCTGCCCGCCCCCTCCCCCTCCCGCTCCCCCTCCCGCTCCCTCTCCCCCTCCTCGTTTCCGCTCAGTCCCCTGGAGGGACTACTGTTGGCGGCTGCAGAGCCCCCGAGCCCACTGGTTCTGGTGGGAATAGCAGCAGGGAGGGGGGCAGAGGGAGGTAAGGCAGGGTTGCTGCTGGTGCGATGGGGGATGGAGTGAAACGGGTGGCTGGGGGTAGGAGTGAATGGGAGTGAGCAGCGCGGGACATGGAAATGGAATTCTGGTGGGCGAGAAATAGTGCGTGCCTTTCAAGACATGGGGGATGGGGAAAGGAGAGGGCATGGGTTTACGTATCGCACGGTTGAGTTGCCGTGGAGTGGGGATTGCAGCAACAGGTGATAGCGAGAGAGGGAGAGGAGAGGATGAGGGGCAAAAATTGCAAGGAAGGAAGAAGACAGAGCCTGCCTCAGGGTTATTACCATGCACCGCACGACCAGCTGCTCTTTTCTTGTTTGTTCTTTTTCTTTTCATATGTTTAATACTTCTTTTTTCCCGTTCTCGGTTGTAATAGCTCCCGTTATCAAACGAGAAGGGACTAGAGCTCGATTTCATGACTACAGCTTTCTATCCCTCCCTCCCTCGACTCAACGCTCACCAACTTTACACCATCCACCCAACCCTCACCCTTTTTTCTCGTTCCGCCCTATCGCCCTCGTTTCGAACTCACCGTCGCCCTGCCGCTGTAGCCCCGCGGCTCGAACCACAAGACGCGGACCCGAGCGGAGACGCCCTTCCCCCGCACACGCTCCCCGCGCCTCCGCTTCCCCCGGCGCTCCCGCTCCCCCTTCCGGACCCCCTTGATTCCGGCGACGACCCTCTGCTGTCCGCGCGCGCGTGCGACACGGCGCTACGGGCGGGCGACGACCTGGCGGAGGAGGGCTTCAATCGACTCGACCCGGGCGCAACTGCCGCGGCGCTGCTGCCGCCGCCCGCGCCACCACCAGCAGAAGCAGAGCCGGCAGGAGGAGGCGCAGCAGCAGCAGCAGAAGTAGCAGCAAGAGTATCGTCGGGAGGGATAGAGGCAAGGTCCGGCGCGATATGCGAGGCGACAAGCTCGAGAGGCACGTCGACGCGGCTACGCACGGCGTCTACCCACAGGCGCACGCTCTCGTCCGACACGCGCAGCACCTCGCCGAAGCACCACCGCGCTTTCATACACCGCACCACCACCAAGTCCCCCGCCTCGTACGGACAGCTCCACGCCTCTCCTCCGCGTTTCCCGCCGCCCGATCCCGCGCCTCCGCGGCGGCGGCGCCCGCCGCCGCCGCTGCTGCTGCTGCTGTAGTCGGTCGGGTAATCCGCGCCGCTGACCCCGCCGTAGTCGGCGTCGTAATCGGAGCCGGGATCTGCGCCGTAATCTGCGGCGGATTGAGCTGGCCAATCATCGAGCGCCGTGGCGGCGGTAGGATCTAGCGAGTTGTAACGAGTCGGTCCGCGTATGCTATCTCCATGGCTCCCCCCACCGCCAGCCCCGCGGCTGAGCCCCGCTTTCCCCGCTCCTCCCCCCCGCACTCTTTCGCGGAAAGGAAGCTCCGCCACCAGCTGAACGGGCCCAGATCGTGCCCCTTCGTCTGCGCCAGGGGTTGCGCGGAGCGAGCGGGAGTAGGCGGAGCGGTCGATGAGAGGAGGGGGGGCGTGGCGCAGGGTTCCGCCGGAGGGGAGAGAAGAAGCGGGGATGGTGGGGGAGGAGGAGCTGTATCCTTCATCGCTGTCCTCTGATTGGTCGATAAGGTCCATCATAAGTGGGTTGCGGCCACGCGTCCGAAACCCCATAAGCTCGAGAACGGCAGTTTGCGTTCGTCACGGTGAGAGGTAGCGACGTCAGGACGACGGGGATAGACTTGAATAGAAGGATCGGGGGTAACGGGTGGGTTGAGACAAGCGCGAGAAAATAAAAAAAAGCGTTGAGGTTTCGAGGAACGGGGTCAACGCGGTGCCCGCTGGATGGAAATGCAGAGTGGCAGGCTGACTACGGTTAAGGCTACATACATGGAACAGAAGCTGTGGCCTTGCAGCGGGACAAATTTGAAAATACAGAGATTGGAAATACCGATGGCAATGGTGACGGCACACGTGTCAAATCACCGTGACCTGCGTGAGGAGGAAGCGTGAGCGGGAATTGGTAACAGGATCTTGAGCTGCTTCGACGTGAGGAGCAGAAGTACGACTACACTTCGCACAGAGGCTCACGAGGTGTAGTTGAATCCAAACTCGCGGCACCGAATCAGCTGCTAGTGCTGGGATCAGACTACAGCCGCACCTGTCTGGACTCTCCTAGACTTTCCATTACCTAATCATCAAATCAGTCTAGGAATAATAAGTCTCTGCCTTATCAGCCAGAATAATCAGCAACACTTTACTCCAGAAACGGTTTCAGGAAAGAGTTGTCCTGAGTCCGACCGTACCCACCATCCATCCACCCAACACCAAACCAAACATCCGACCTGAACGAATCGAGTGAAGCAAGCGGCCACTGGTGACACAGCCTGACGCAGCGAGCAATGGGATTGTAGATTCCACAACGGTGGCGAGACAAGACACGATGACTCGTTTGACACATCGGGCAGAAGCGAAACTTGCCCGCCTGGCACTCGCAACCAGCGGGTTCGGCTGGTTTTACAGAGAAGCGCGCCAAACCATTGAAACTTCAATATGCGATAAGAACAGTACAGTTTCACCACTGTGGTTTTCACCGATTCCCACACATAAAAGTTGGTTCCGGCAAGAGCGACCAGTCTTGCCTTGGGATTCCCAAGATTTAGGGGGCTAGCTACGAGAAGTGAACAAAAGCGACGTGAATATTGCCAGCTTCGCGGGTGTCGTCTTCTGCCCACTTCCGCTTCGTGCGACATTCTATCAGAAGCCACACCAATCAGCATCATGCTGCCTAGCCGAAAAGTTGTGGCTGAAACAAGGCCCAGTTCGGCAGGCATTGTGGCCATTATCGCCATTATGGGCCATTTTAACGGGCCCCCAAAAAATGGCCCCAAGAAACAGACTGTAGCTGCAGTGAAACTTCGGAAAACAATGGCGCGACTGTTCGGTTGGCATCAAATGGGCCGAAATTAATGGCACCATTGGAAATGACACTTCTAAGAAGCCCGTATGCAGCTGCGCAGATGGAGCAAAGAATCACTGTACGGGCAGCCCGGGCAGCACTGCAAAGCAGCGATGGACGTCGAAAAAAAAAACGCGCAAGGCATATTGTGCGTTCGATGTGTTAGAGATTTTGTGTTTGTGATGTACGATTTTCCAGCGGGCACGAAGACGGGTGAGAAAGATCGAGATTTATTTTTCCAGGGCAAAGTGTGATTGCCCCGAATCAATGATCCCCCGCATGGTGCGGGGCCTCGAGGCCGCATGGTGCGGCGGATGAGAAAATGGACAGTTTGCCTGAGAAAAAGGGTTCGAGGAAGGTTCCTCTTGTGAAAAATGCCAGCGGCTAAAGGGGTGTTCGGCTGGCATTCCATTATTGTCTGGTTTGGTGTTGATCCGCTTATATCGAGCCTAGATAACCTTTCGCGCGCTTATCAAAGAAGGTTCCAGGGTGGTCGGTTTACTGTAGCCCATACGGGGAAACCGTTTTTTTAATGCCTGCCGAACTGGGCCCAAATGCCGAACATGCCCTGTACTGTACGAAGCTGCCGCCACGGTGGTTTTTTGTGTCCCCGTTGCTGGAGTGGAAAGGCGAACGGTTCATGCCACCCACCCGTCGTGAGTCAACAGATGGGATTGAGGTTATCGTGGTTCGCTAAGCGCAGCACTCAATATGGTCATAATGTTGTCAAATAGCTGGGTTGTTAACTCGGGCTAAATGAACCTAGTATGGTGGGCTGTACCACTTACCCAGCAATTGTTTACATGCCCTTAATGTACTGTTTATGAATTGTTTGGAGAAAGGCACGCTTAAGATTTTCTACAGACTACACTGACTAAGAAACATATGACGCGACGGTATCATGAAAATGTCCTATAATCTAGAGAAAGATACCCACCTGTTTATTGACAATCATATGTTTGCTAAATACTGCATATCATCCAACAGCGATGTATACAAGACTGTTACTGTCACTGAAACATACCATGTTGGAGTTTGGCAAAAGGTGTTGTTTTTCCATTGCAGAATCATCACTGGGCCATAAATTCGGAAGCATCGCGAACCTGAATGTGCTTGTAACGGAAACCCGAAAGCGGGAAATCGATGGAGCCTAGGGCTCGTCCGTCATTCGACGAATCAGCGAACTGGATCCGGCCTTCCAACTCCGAGAATTCTTCGATCTTCCCCAAACCAAAAATGAGACGGAGGGAACCGTAGGCTCCATTACAAGGCCAAATCTTTTGGTTGCAGATGGTAGCATGCTTTTGTGGTGCGGTCGCAGCAGGAAGCGGTGGGTAATTAGGGAGTACGTGAAGCGGAGTCGCGAATGTCCTCATATTCGGAGGTAGGCGCATCCGATGCCAGGTTTCGCGGATGAATATCCGACCGCACGGCTCTTGGAACGTCTCACATATGCTGCCGGAGCGCGGTGCTTGCGTCGACCAGCTGCACCCATTGTTCGCATGAACGGATCTTCCTGCCCTTCAGCGACCACCGTCAGATAGCCTTTCATTCGATCTCCCTTTCTACAAATCGATCTCACCGATCCGCGCTAACGTGCTCGGGTCGCCGATCCGTTCCCCTCGTCCTCGTCCGATCTCCCACTACCCTTTCCTCGAAGCGCCATGCCGCCGGCTCGGTCCCGGGGGAGCATTGAGCGGCGGAGAGCGCTGGAGCAGCCGGACCTGCAGGTGCTGCCGCCGCACGTATGGGCGACGCTAGGCGGGCTGGGGCTGGCGGCGACGGTGGGTCTGTTCGGCGTGCTGGGGCTGATCACGGAGTGGGAGGTGCCTGGCCTGCCGCACCTGTTCGTCGGCATGCTCGTCTTCGCGCTCGTGCTCTACCTGCTCATGCTGCCCATCTCCTGGTCGCAGCTACCACGTGAGTGATCACTCATTCTCTCCTTCCCCGCGACCTTCCTTCCCTGCAACATATACCCCCGCCCTTGCTTCTGCTTATCTCCGTCATCCTATCTTCCTTCTCGTTCGCGTCAGCTCCTCTCTTCTGTGCGTACCCTCTTTCCTCCGCGAATCCTCATTCCTTCCGCCCCCTGTTATCTTCCCCTTTCCGCTGCACCCCACCGTTCCCGCCGCCCGTGACCCTTTCCGCGCGCCCGCTCCCCCGCCAGAGTCGTGGAAGGCGCGGTTCAAGTGGAGGCCGCGCGCGCGGCAGCAGCAACAAGACATGGACCCGCCCCCCTGGTCGCTCACAGCCGCCGCCGTGTGCAGGTGAGAGAGACAAGCCACGCCGCGTGCGTGCCGTAAATTGCCGTAGATCGCCGTAGGTCGCAGTAGGTCGCTGTATATCGCGTGGAGTATTGTAGCAAACAAGGGAACCCCCGCCAAACATATCATCTGAGAGCAAACACGCGCCGTTCGGAGCACGAGCCACAAGTACAGTCATTTCCGGAAAACGTTTTAGCAGCGATAGAGTCTGCGTGATGATCACACATGAATGCACAAGCTTGGCGTAAAGTTAGCCTTTTTTCCACCAGGAGGGGCGGATCTCCCATGAATTCACGGCACGCCACCTCCTTCCCATTGCGGCTCCTCCCATCCCATCCCATCCCATCCCATCCCATCCCATCCCATCCCATCCCATCCCATCCCATCCCATCCCATCCCATCCCATCCCATCCCATCCCATCCCATCCCATCCCATCCCATCCCATCCCATCCGTCTCGTTCCCGTTCCCCGCCGGCCAATCAGAGCGCTGCACGTGGTGCGCGACGTGGGGCTGCACAAGGAGGTGGCGCAGGCGCGGCTGGCGCGGCACGGCGTGAACGAGATCGAGTCGCTGCCCGTGCCCACCTTCCTCGCCTTCCTCATCCCCGCCGTCTACACCCCCACTAGAGTCAGTGCCCTCTCTCCCCCGTGTTCCCGTAGCGTCTCACCCGCGTGCATTTAGGCAGTTTTTTAGGCGCCTGGAAATATCGCCCTTTGCCCGCCTTCCTCGCCGTCCTCATCCCCGCCGTCTACACCCCCACTAGAGTCAGTGCCCTCTCTCCTTGCTCCCTTGCTCCCTTCCCCCTCGCTCCCTTCTCCCATGCCCCCTCTCTCATGCCCCCAATCCCTTGCCCCCACTCCCGTGTTGTTGCTGCTGCTCGTGCGCCCACAGCGCCATGCGCGTGGTCGGCGTATTCTGAGTCAACTCAGAACACACGTCCCGCCCCCGCTCCTCCCCTTTCCCCCTTCCCGTTTCCCCCGTCCCCATTCCGCCATTCCGCCATTCCCTCATTCCCCCTCCCTCCTCACCCTTTCCCCCTTCCCCGTTCCACCTTCCCCCACCGCCAGCTGCTGCTGCTGTTCCTCCTGGTGCTCTTCACGGCACTGTGCGCGTGGTCGGAGGCGCTAGTGGGCGTGGCGTGCGTGCTGCTGCTACTGCTGCTCGACACGTTCGCGGAGTGGCTGGGGCGCAGGGGCCTCGCGAGTGCGTGCCTGGCAGTGCCGCACGACGCGCTCGTGCTGAGGGACGGGGTCGCTGTCACGCTGCCCCGGAGGCTGCTCGTGCCGGGGGATATCGTGCTGCTGCGCCCAGGCATGGTGCGTGGGGTTGAGAGGAGTTGGAGGGGGTGGAGGGGTGTTGGAGTACCAAACACGTAGGGGGTTGTTAGTAACATGCCCGCCATTGCATTCTCAGCCTCCCAGTGCCAACTTTATCTTTCCATCCCATATGAGCCTCCTCCGTTCCCCACACCCCACCTATACCCAGTTGAATTCCCTTGTTCCCCCTCCCCTCTCCCTCGTTCCGCCTCCCCTCTCCCTCGTTCCACCTCCCCTCTCCCCTCTGCCCTCTCCCCGCTCCCCTCTTCCCTCTCCCCTCTCCTCCTCTCCCCCTCTTCCCTACCTTCTCCCCCCTTCTTCCCTCCTTCCCTTTTTCCACTTTCTCCCCTTGTCCTTGCCCCTCTTGCCTCCATCGCCCCGCTCACCCGTTTCTTCCCTTCGCCCCTCTCTCGTTTTCACCCCTGGCCCCCTGCACTTCCACCAGGAGGTACCAGCGGACGTGCGTCTCCTGCACTGCAGCCTGCTTGAAATCGACGAGTCAGCCGTGTCAGGCGAGTGGGAAGCAGCGCCGTGCCCCAAGGACGCAGCAGCCATCATCTCCGGCCGCACCACGGCCGTAGACTGCGCCAACATCGCCCTCGCCGGCACCATCGTCACCTGCGGGTACGGCTCGGGAGTCGTGTTCCGCACGGGCAAGAACACGGAGATTGGCAGGAAGATAGCAGCAGCTGCCAAGCATCACAGGAGCAGGTTGTTGGGCGGGGCCGGGGAGGTGTCCCCGCTGCTGTTGGTGCTACGGGGTGCTGCGCGTTGGTCGACGCTCGTAGCGGTGGTTTTTACGCTGGTGGTTGCTGGGCTGGGAGTGTACCGGGCTGTTGACTGGCAGACGATTCTGCTCACGTCGCTCGCGTTTTTCTTCGCCGCGCTGCCCGAGAACCTGCCCGCGATCTTCTACTCCACGCTTGGCGCGGGCAGCCAGCGGCTCGTGCAGAACGAGATCTTTTTCAAGGAGCTTCGGGCAGTCGAAAACCTCTCATACGTGGACACAATCCTAACAGACAAATCGGGATCCTTAACAGAAGAACGGCTAGATCTCCAAGGCCTACTGGTCGCTTCTACAGCCATAGGCGTGGAGGAACTAGCAGTAGCCACACGAGAGATGCCCAAGGGCGGGCCGTTAGCAGCAGAGGGAGGGATGGAGGCGCTAGGGAAGCTGCTGGAGGCGTGGGTGTTTATGTCTGACATGGGGGATGATTTGTTGGCGGAGAATCTGGGGGGGAGCGCGGGGGGGAGGGGGATGGGCGGAGCAGGCGCGCAGAGGGGTGCGGAGAAGGGCGAGGGGCTGGGTGGGCGTGGGCATGCGTCGGGAGGAGTGGGGGGGCAGGTGGGGGGGAGTGGAGGGGAAGGGGAGGGGAGTGGGAGCGAGGAGGGTGCGAAGGTGAATGGGAAAGCTGGGGAGTCAGGGGGTGCGGCGGAAGAGGGTACCGATGCTGAGTTCCTAGCAGCCATAGCGAAGGAAGCAAAGGAAGCAGGAGCAGGTGACGTGAGTGTGGATATTCGAGCAGGAGCAGAGGAGGAACAGAGCGAATCCCTCCTGGAATCAGGCCGAAAGGCCGGCGATCCAACCCCGGACGTGGCCGCGCGAGGAGGCCACGTGGACGCTCTGGATTGGGCGATTCTGGGCGCGGTGGGCGGGCCGTCTGTGCTGACGAGCCTGCCTTATGAAGGGCTGGAAGGGGTGGAAGCAGAGGTGGCAGCAGCAACGGCATCGGCTGCAAGCACAACTACCAAGGGGCTGCGGCCGCTGCATGACCTGCTGAGGAGGTGCTATGAGGCCAAGGCGGCGGCGAGAAGGCTGACGGATACCCCTTATGAGTCGAGCCTCAAGTGTGCTGTGCGGACGTATGCGGATGTGCGGACGGTGGTGGGCGGCGCGGGTGGCGTGGGGGTGACGAGAGGCAAGTCGGTGCAGAAGAAACTGCTGGCGCTGGGGAAGAGGTGAGTGAGAGGATGTCTGTGTGGCATTTTCTCGCTTTGTGTTGCAGTTGTTTCTTGAGAAGTTTCAACAGACGCCCGTGCAGGGGGCGTGGGGTGAGTGAGTGAGTGAGTGAGTGAGTGAGTGACGAGAGGGAAGTCGGCACAGAAGAAACTGTTTTCTCTGGGAAAGAGGTGAGCAGCTGTGTGGCGGTTTTCACATGACCATGATGTACCCACTTCCCCAATGCCCATGCATCTCTCCTCCCGTGTCCGCCCTCTCCCGTCGCCCACACCTGCCTGACCTCTGCACCCATCTCCACCGTTCCCCTGTCCTGGCCACCAGAGTGGCCGATGCAAGTGGGCAGTTGGGGGCGGACGCACAGGTCAGCGCCGGCACCGGGAGTAGCGGCGGCAGCGGCAGCGGGGTGTGTGAGCTGCGGCAGCGGGTGTTTGTGCGGGGCCCACCGGAGGTGCTGCTGCAGCAGTGCGGCACCATTCTGCACCGCGGCGAACCGGCTTCCATCACATCGTCACGTGCCACCATCCAAGAGCAGATCAACGAGCTCACGGAGCAAGGTGGGTGCGTAGGGGCGTGGTGGCGGGGGCTGAGACTTTTGAGATTGTGCAAGAGCCATTGACGGCTCACCATTAAGCATTCCACTCAAAACGCATCATGTCCCTTTCGCTATTTTAGTTGCGCCCTTTCTCCTCTTCTCCTGCCCCTCTCCTCTCTTTTTCACTCCCTCGCCCCACCCTAGGCCTGGTGCTGGTGGCATACGCATCAGGAGACATGCTAGTGGACAGTCCGCGAGCCTCCTCTCGCCCGGCCATCCTCGCGTGCATCCACGACTGCACCTTCCTGGGGGTGGTGCTCGCAGCAGAGTCCCCTCGCCCTGGCGTGAACGACGCTGTGAGGAGCTGCCAGCAGGCCGGGGTGCGGCCTGTGGTGGTCACGGGGGACCACATGGCCACTGCTGCTGCTCTCGCCAAGACTGTTGGGCTGTGCAAGGGTGGACAGGTGAGACTGTGTTTGAGGCGCGTCAGTAGGGTCCCCGTGTTCCGGTGTAAACGACGCTGTGAGGAGCTGCCAGCAGGCCGGGGTGCGGCCTGTGGTGGTCACGGGGGACCACATGGCCACTGCTGCTGCTCTCGCCAAGACTGTTGGGCTGTGCAAGGGTGGACAGGTGAGACTGTGGTTGAGGCGCGTCAGTAGGGTCCCCGTGTTCCGGTGTAAACGACGCTGTGAGGAGCTGCCAGCAGGCCAGGGTGCGGCCTGTGGTGGTCACGGGGGACCACATGGCCACTGCTGCTGCTCTCGCCAAGACTGTTGGGCTGTGCAAGGGTGGACAGGTGAGACTGTGTTTGAGGCGCGTCAGTAGGGTCCCCGTGTTCCGGTGTAAACGACGCTGTGAGAAGCTGCCAGCAGGCTGGGGTGCGGCCTGTGGTCGTCACAGGGGACCACATGGCCACTGCTGCTGCTCTCGCCAAGGCTGTTGGGCTCTGCAAGGGCGGACAGGTGAGAGGGCGCATGGGGGTGGTGGGGTTTGATATTCCACTGGAGGGAGGTCCGGGCAGGGTGTGTGACTTAAGTAAGGTTCATTCATTGTGGTTGCATTCATTCCGGTTGCGTCTGGCAGTCCTGCTACATTCTCTAGTGCACCGTCTACCGCTTTCCAACCCGCCTCCCCTTACCACTGTCGCCTCTTTCTCCTCCTCCCCTTTTTTCACCAGCAGCAACCGGGGGCAGCACCGGAGGTGGTATCATGCGTGGAGAAGCCAGCAGCGCAGACACCGCAGGAGGAGCTGAGTGCGCTGGTGCAGGCCAGCAGTGTATTCGCGCGTGCCTCGCCCATCGACCGCCTCTGCATTCTCGAGGCCCTCCAGGCCAATGGCGCCTTTGTCGCCGCCTGTGGCACAGGTGCGAGCAGAAGGGGGGAGGGGCGGGGAGACTGTGCTGAAGTCTTGCCTTTTGAGGCGCCTTGAATCTTGTGGGAATGGGGTATCTGTGCTGAGCCCTTGCCTGTGCTGCTGCAGATATTGCTGGTCTGTTCCGCCCTGTCCTTCCCTGCTTACCCTGCATGTCACCGACGGACGGGGCGCATAACTTTCCTCTCCTTCCCGGCCCTCCTCTTACGAGCAGGCATGGTAGACGCACCTGTGGTCGCAAAGAATATTTTCTGGTCAACTCGAGAATCCTCTCCCTCCCTCCCTCCCTCCCTCCCTCCCGTCTTCGTCCGAGCAGGCATAGTAGACGCGCCAGTGGTAGCGGAAGCAGACGTGGGGCTGGCGGTGGGAGCAGCACCAGACGTGGTGAGGGATGCAGCAGCCGTGGTGGTGCTAGACGGGTCCTTCGGTGCAGTGCGCTTCCTGCTGGAGGAGGGGCGCGCGCTGCTGCTCAACCTGCGCAAGGCCACTGCGCTCACCCTCGGCACGCGCCTGGGGCTCGCTCTGCTCATGCTCGCTGGCACTCTCTGGGTCAAGTGAGTGGTGCTGTTAGCTGATATGGTGGGCTCAGGGTGTTTGTTTATCTAGTGATTGTTTCTAGAAAAACCCAGCTCGGATGCAATTTCTCTTGTTCTGATCTTATCATCCTCTTTCTCCGCTTCTCCCCTCACCTCTCCCCCGTCTCCTCATGATCCTAACCCCCAAATGGACGTTTCCTTCCATCTTCCCACTCCCACCCCCACAGCTACCCACTGCAGCCCACGCAGATCATCATAGCAGCAGTGTTCCTCAACGCAGCCTCGCTCTTCTCCTACACCGTCGAACTCCCAGACGCAGACACCATGCTGCACCCGCCGCGCCACCGCACCCAGCCCTTCTTCGACCTCCCACTCCTCTCCCTCTCGGCCGCCGCCACCATCGCCACGGTCACAGCCTCCCTGCTCGCCCTCGCCTTCTCCCTCCGCACGGCGCTGCAGGGCGACACGCAGACAGTGGTGTTTGTGGCCTGGCTGCTCGCGTCCTGCCTCGTGGGATTCCACATGCGCACCTTCTCCCAGCCGCTCTTCAGCAAGGGTCTCGGGTCCAACTCGCTCGTGCTGCTCTGGCTGCTTGCAGTCGTGGTCTTCTGTGTGCTGCTCGGCGTGTTCCCGTGGCTTCAAAAGGCCGTGCATGTGGTGAGCCTGACCCCCACGGACTGGGGGATCGTGGCGGCGATTGCGGTGATTGGCACGGTGTGGATCGACCTGTGCAAGCTGCTGGTGGCCAAGTCGAGAGAACATGGGTATGAGGTGCCCAGTATGCCTGTTCCTGTGGGAGGCCGGGGTGGGGGCGCACGTGGAGGTGTCGGGGTGGCGCCGCTGCTGCCGTCTACAGCACTCAAGAGCGATGTGGAGATGACATGAGTTGTTGTGCGCAATGCTCGTATTTGAACTGCTGCGGTAGATTGTGGGCTGTAGTGGTGTTGCAGCGGGTGGTTATAGTCTGCTCTGCGACGGAAGACATTTTATGAGGCGGTTCTTGCTTATGCTCTCTAGGGCTCCATAGAGGCGCTCTTGGCTTAGGTACCGTGTGAGTGGATGAATATCTGGTATAGGTGAGAATGGCATTGAGATGCTCCAGACGGCTGGTTTGGGACTCTGGTCGTGGCAGTGGCAAATGCTACCAGGCAGACCTTAGTCTAGCACAAGCGAACATAATTGCCTGGCAGCCAAGGTGGAAAGATTTGCCCTCATTGTCTGGACTCTGGTCTGCTGCTGGAATGGGACTGGGATGTGTAAAAATTATTGCCGCTACTACTATGCTGTTGCTGGGACTAATATTGTCGTGAATAGTAGGTGCTGACCAAGCAATTTGTGGAACATTTGTTTGCTTGCTGTACAAGTGTTTCTTACCATGCCAAAAAGAGATTGATAACATACTGCTTCATAGTACTTTGTAGTCTCGTTGCGGATAATGGGTTATGTTTGTTGGTTGATGTTCCGTGCACCACATTCACCTCCGATATCGCCCCGAGCCTCCAGTTTCGCTTTGTACTCGCGAAACGCACGACCAGTTACAGCTCACTTCGTTGTCGGTGTCAGACAACGAGAGCCAATGAGTGGGACGGGGCTCTGGTAGCCGTTGCAGGTGTCAGAGGGTGTGAGAGGGAGACTCCAATTCCAATCTGCTCCCATCAGATCTTCCTCCCGCTTTTCCTCCCTTTCCATGGCTGCCGCCGCCCTTATTCCGTGAAACCTATCGTTGGCCAATTACTCGCGCGTTTCTGCCCTCCGTCCCGCCGAGCGGACAGCGAAGCGTGTCTATGTTCGATTCGAACTCTTCATTCCACCGACACGAACACTACCAATCGTGAAGCTTTTGGCCTCCAGTTTCGCGGTTGGGGCTCCATTATCCCTGACACGACAAATCTCCACCAATCCATCGAATTTCCGTTGAACCGTTGCGTTTTTTTCGCGGTTCAACTTCGTTTTGATGAACGGTGGGGATTTTTTGCACGCTCTCGAGGTGGTAGAATGTCGATCTAGGTAGCCTTGGGGTTGGGTTGTGGCGAGGACCCACGCTTTCGTGCAGCAGCCTCGTTTTGCCTCATTCTAGTCCGCCTGCTTCGTTTTTTGCTGCCGTTTTCTCACCCTAGCTGCTCGGCTCACGACGTTCCTTGCCAAAACGACTTCGTACTCTTCTCAATCTAGAGCGTTTACACGGCATTATTGATGCGGAATCGGACCATAGTCGTCGCTATACGTCGTCATCCTTTACCAATCAGCTTCGATTTTCGAAATTCGCGTGGGAATGTCGCATTTCGACGTCCATTTGTCGGGATTCACGTGAAGTCCTAATTTCGACGTGGATTTCGCTGGTCGTCGCCATCCTCGGCTGTTCCGCGTCGAACTCGCAATTCCGGTAAAAATTAGTTATGGATCGGATAGTTCATTCGTTGTTTAGTCAGCTTCGCGATTCTCGGAAAAGCAGCTAATGGTCGTGTCTCTCGCGACTGGCAGGCGAGCACAGAACGAGTCCAAGTCGTTTGACATTCCAGTCCGCCATTTCTCGCGCTGACCTCAACCTTGGCGATTTCGCCATCCGTTACACTCGTCACCGAGTAAGGAAATTTCGGAGCTCGGTTTCTCTTCCGTGAAACCTTTGTCTTTTCTACCCGCGATTTTCGTTTTTCCCAGTAATTTGAACTCCCTTTGTCGTCTCACTTGGCAGACGCACCATCCTGAGCGGAAATTTGAGGAAATTGACCCTCCCAAGGCGAGGACCATTTGCAAGCGAGAGCAAGCGGGCGTCATCAGGCTCTGCCACGCGTTGTTGGATGTCCGCGCTCAGCTCCACCCATCACCACGCAAGGTACTCTCCTCGCTTCCCTCCTCCTCTCCCTTGCACCGTGTTTTCCGCTCTCGTTTTCCGCTCCAGTGGTGCTCTGCTCTCCATGTCCCTCTGCTTTCCTCGCACTGCTTCTTTCCTCGCACTCCTGCCCTCCTTCCTTCCATGTGCTACTCGTCCCCTCTCAACCTAGTGCCCCTCTGCGTCAATTTCCCTGCCTGCGCCGCCTCAATCTCCCACCAGATGCACGGCTATGAGGGCGGATGGGCAAGCGGAGAGGCGAGGGAGGCAAGCAGCTGAGTGTCATCCGCTCGCCTCGCCTCTACACGCAGCAGCAGCAGCAGCCGTGCCTCCTCTCCACTCCACTCGCCTTTCACCCTCGCCACAGCTAAGTGCCCCGCATTGCTCCTCTGCTCCTCGCTGCTCTCTGCCTTCCATTCCATGCTTGCACGCGCTTCCATGCTCGCTCCCTTGCTGCCGTGCGCCATCCCAGAGACCTCCCTCTCCCAAGGTAGCAGGTATCTTTTCTTTTGGTACAGCCTCAGGTATTCATTTGACTTTGGTTCAGCCGGTACGAGGTCTCTTGGGTGTGCCACTGCAGCAGTCCATTCATGCACGCATCATTCTTGCAATTTCAGCACTCGACGCTCTCTCGTCATTCCTCTCCACACTGCCCTCCTGTCCCTGCCCTCCCTTCCCTCCCAGGCCCGCACAAGGGGAGGGCAGCAGGCGAGCAGCAGGCGAGGGGAGCACCAGGGCGGGCAGCAGGAGCGCGGGCAGCGGGGCAGCAGCGCCGGCCTCATCAACGGTTGAGGTTGCAGTATCGCCCCTGCCACCACACTCCACTCGAGCCCACTCCCCCTCAGGTTCAGGTTCAGGTTCAGGTGCAGGTTCAGGTTCAGGTTGGTAGCGGCTCTTGTGGGGTTGTGGTTGGCGTCACATGCACTGTCGTTTCTGCTGTTGCACGTGTGTTTGGCAGTTTTCTCCATTGCAACCCCTCTTACTTTCGGCTGCCTTTCCTTTCCGCCCTGCCCTCCCTCCCCTCCCTTCCCTGCCAGGCCTTCACAAGCCAGGGGGAGGGCAGCAGGCGAGCAGCAGGCGAGGGGAGCACCAGGGCGGGCAGCAGGAGCGCGGGCAGCGGGGCAGCAGCGCCGGCCTCATCAACGGTTGAGGTTGCAGTATCGCCCCTGCCACCACACTCCACTCGAGCCCACTCCCCCTCAGGTTCAGGTTCAGGTTCAGGTGCAGGTTCAGGTTCAGGTTGGTAGCGGCTCTTGTGGGGTTGTGGTTGGCGTCACATGCACTGTCGTTTCTGCTGTTGCACGTGTGTTTGGCAGTTTTCTCCATTGCAACCCCTCTTACTTTCGGCTGCCTTTCTTTTCCGTCCTGCCCTCCATCCCCTCACTTCCCTGCCAGGCCTTCACAAGCCAGGGGGAGGGCAGCAGGCGAGCAGCAGGCGAGGGGAGCACCAGGGCGGGCAGCAGGAGCGCGGGCAGCGGGGCAGCAGCGCCGGCCTCATCAACGGTTGAGGTTGCAGTATCGCCCCTGCCACCACACTCCACTCGAGCCCACTCCCCCTCAGGTTCAGGTTCAGGTTCAGGTTCAGGTGCAGGTTCAGGTGCAGGTTGGTAGCGGCTCTTGTGGGGTTGTGGTTGGCGTCACATGCACTGTCGTTTCTGCTGTTGCACGTGTGTTTGACACTTTTCTCCATTGCAACCCCTTTCCTTTCCGCCCTGCCCTCCCTCCCCTCCCATCCCTTCCCTGCCAGGCCTTCACAAGTCAGGGGAAGGGCAGCAGGCGAGCAGCAGGCGAGGGGAGCACCAGGGCGGGCAGCAGGAGCGCGGGCAGCGGGGCAGCAGCGCCGGCCTCATCAACGGTTGAGGTTGCAGTATCGCCCCTGCCACCACACTCCACTCGAGCCCACTCCCCCTCAGGTTCAGGTTCAGGTGCAGGTTCAGGTGCAGGTTGGTAGCGGCTCTTGTGGGGTTGTGGTTGGCGTCACATGCACTGTCGTTTCTGCTGTTGCACGTGTGTTTGACACTTTTCTCCATTGCAACCCCTCTCACTTTTGGCTGCCTTTCCTTTCCGCCCTGCCCTCCCTCCCCTCCCTTCCCTGCCAGGCCTTCACAAGTCAGGGGAACGGCAGCAGGCGAGCAGCAGGCGAGGGGAGCACCAGGGCGGGCAGCAGGAGCGCGGGCAGCGGGGCAGCAGCGCCGGCCTCATCAACGGTTGAGGTTGCAGTATCGCCCCTGCCACCACACTCCACTCGAGCCCACTCCCCCTCAGGTTCAGGTTCAGGTTCAGGTTCAGGTTCAGGTGCAGGTTGGTAGCGGCTCTTGTGGGGTTGTGGTTGGCGTCACATGCACTGTCGTTTCTGCTGTTGCACGTGTGTTTGGCAGTTTTTTCCATTGCAATCCCTCTTACTTTCAGCTGCCTTTCCTTTCCGCCCTGCCCTCCATCGCCTCACTTCCCTGCCAGGCCTTCAGAAGTCAGGGGGAGGGCAGCAGGCGAGCAGCAGGCGAGGGGAGCACCAGGGCGGGCAGCAGGAGCGCGGGCAGCGGGGCAGCAGCGCCGGCCTCATCAACGGTTGAGGTTGCAGTATCGCCCCTGCCACCACACTCCACTCGAGCCCACTCCCCCTCAGGTTCAGGTTCAGGTGCAGGTGCAGGTTCAGGTTGGTAGCGGCTCTTGTGGGGTTGTGGTTGGCGTCACATGCACCGTCGTTTTTGCGCTCGCACTGCTGCCAGAGTCTTCTCGTTTGAAAGAGTCGCTCCCTCCCACCTGCCCCTTACTCTCTCTATCTCTCTCTCCCTTCTCTGCCTCGCAGGTCCGTCCCTTCAAGCCCCGCTCGCCCTGCCCACTCTCCATTGAAGCACCCCCTCCGCCTGCACCACACAATCAGCTAAGTACCCATTCCCCCATGCCTGCACTCTTGCCTGCCATTCCATTTCTTTCGTTTCATCTGCTGTTGCTCCGTCTTCTTGAAACAATGCCACTGGTTGAGTACTGCTCACATGCTACAGACCCCCTGCTTCAGGTGATTCCCTCAGGTAACCCCTTCAGGTGCAGGTACACCCCTCAGGTTTTTTTTCAGGTGCCCTTGGGTCTGCAGCTTGTGGCCGTGCCTCAACCAGTGGCTCCTCCTCCCTTCCCTTGTGCTGGATTTCAAGTCACAGTTTCCCATTCAACTTGCGCACTGACTAGCTCTGTGTGTGCGCATTGCAGGTGGCGGGGAGGGGTGTGGGGTCAACACCGACGCTCCCTCACGCCCCTCCCCTGTGGCCGTGCAGGGAGGGAGGAGGCACCTGGAGGAGGGCTGCTGCGGAGGGAGGCAGCTGGTGGTGCTGCAGCTGCCTTGAGCTCGCCCTCACGCTATCAGCTAAGTCACCCACTTCCATGCCCTCACCCTTGCCCGCCACATCATGGCTTGTTGCTTTCTTGCTGCCATTTCGTTTGTCGGTTGCTCTTTCGCCCTTCCCTTTGAAACAATGCCTTTGGTTGAGCACGGTTCACATGCTACAGACCCCCATCAGGTAACCCTCTCAGGTGCAGGTAACCCCTTCAGGTGCAGGTACACCCCTCAGGTTTTTTTTCAGGTGCCCTTGGGTCTGCAGCTTGTGGCCGTGCCTCAACCAGTGGCTCCTCCTCCCTTCCCTTGCGCTGGATTTCAAGTCACAGTTTCCCATTCAACTTGCTCCCACCACCGCGCTCTGACTAGCTCTGTGTGTGCGCATTGCAGGTGGCGGGGAGGGGTGTGGGGTCAACACCGACGCTCCCTCACGCCCCTCCCCTGTGGCCGTGCAGGGGCGCACACAAGAAGGCTGGGAGGAGGGCTGCCGTGGAGGGAGGCAGCTGGTGGTGCTGCAGCTGCCTTGAGCTCGCCCTCACGCCACCAGCTAAGTAACCCTCCTCCATGCCCTCACCTTCTTCGCATGTCATTTCGTTTGCTGGTTGTACGCTCTTCCCTTTGGAACAATGCCACTGGTCCAGCGCGGTTCACATGCCACAGACCCCCACACTTCAGGTATCTCCTCAGGTGCAGTGCAGGTAGCCCTCTCAGGTGCAGGTCCCCCCCTCAGGTGCAGGTTCCCTTGGCGTCTGTGGCGTGTGGCCTTGCCTCAACCAGTGGCCCTCTTTCACATTTGGCAGTTCCGGTCTCTGGCTTGTGTTGTGCCCATGCCATGCATACTGACCACCGCCGTGTGTGTGCATTGCAGGTGGAGGGGAGGGGCGTGGGGGTCAACACCGACGCTTCCCCACGCCCCTCCCCTGTGGCCGTGCAGGGACTCGTGGGGACGGGAGGGAGGCAGCACTGCAGCATGGCAATCCCACTGCAGCAAGGGAGAGTATCGGGATGGGCTTGGCCTCTCAAGGTAAGCCTCGTACCTCTCTTTCCCGCTGCACTGGTTTTCTGCTAACTTGCCCTCTTGCGCTCATCCCTTTGATTCGCCCTTGCCTGTTTCAAGGCCTGCACTCACTCCACTCCTGGCCTTCCCTTCCGTTCTGCCCCCCTCCAGGTCACTCGCAATGCAGCAGAGACAGCTGACGGGACCAGTTGTGGCAGCATCAGCAGCGGGGAGCATTGGTGCAGCAGTGGAGGGAGGGAGGGGGAAGGCGGCATCTCCAGGGAGGCGCCTCTTCAGCTGCCAGCTAAGTGCTTTTGCCTCCCTGGACTCACTCTTGCCTGCTGCTCACTGCTCATGCTGATGCCTACTCTTGTTGTTTTCGCATGGGCTTCTGTGTTTTATCCCTGAATACTCGCCACTGGTTGGGCCCGGTTCACATGCTACAGACCTCCACTCTTCAGGTAAACCCCTCAGGTGCAGGTAACCCTCTCAGGTGCAGGTACGCACCTGGGTCTGTAGCTTGTGGCCGTGCCTCCAACAGTGGCTCACCTTCCATTCTCTTGCGCTGGATTTGAAGTCATGGTTTCCCATTCAACTTGATCGCCCCACTGTGCTCTGACTAGCTCTGTGTGTGCACACCGACACTCCCTCACGCTCCTCCCTTGTGGCCATGCAGGTGGCAGTGGTGGGAGCGGAGGGGGGCAGCACTCCACTCGGCTGGGATGGGATGGGAGAGTATCGGGATGGGGTCGTCTGGAACAAGGTGAACCACTTTTCCCAGTGCTCACTTCCCTTTATTGCTCCTTCCTGCCTTTTCGCTTCCGCCTTCTCTTCTCCTCTCCCCATTCTCACTACTGTCCCTTGCTTCCCTTCCTCCCACCCTACCCCTCCCACCCAGTGCGTTGAAGGCTGTAGCAGGGCAGCAGGGGGCAGCAGGACGGCAGCAGCAGGGCAGGCAGCAGCAGAGGGGAGGGGAGGGGATGGGCAGCGGCAGCAGCAGGGGAAGCAGAGTAGCAGACCGGCAGCAGCAGTAGCAGCAGCAGCAGCAGTGAGGAGAGGGGGGCTAGGCTAGGCTAGATGAAGCTGCGCGCGAGGTATGGTACAAGGTAAGGTATGGTAACAGGTGTGGTATGGTTACAGGTGAGGTATGGTAAGCTGATCCCCTCCTCTCTCTCTCTTCCCCCTTCACCCTGCAGGCTGAAGGTGGGAGCACTGGAGCAAGGGCAGGAGAGTGGAGTCCACCCTCTCTCTCACCTCCCCTCTCTTCCTTTTCCCTTCCCTCCCAGCAGCACCCTGCCTGGACCACAGAGGAGTCTCTCCCTCCCCTAATCCCCCCTTCTCTCTCCACTTCCCAGCAGCCTGAGGCATCATGGCGCTCTGCATGGCTCTGGTAAGTGGAGGTGAGTAGAGGTAAGGAGGCATGGGGGTGAAGTGTGGGGTGGGGGGGAGCCTGGGAGCAAGCGGGGAGTTCACTGCCTTAGGGGCAGCATCCTCTGGGGTTGTGTCTTGTGGTGGTGGGGTGTGGTGGGTGGAATCTCCGCGGCACGGCACTCGGTGCTCAGGTTCCCGATCCGGCGTTTAAGGCTTAATGGACACCGTCAGAGCCGACCGGCCGGCGGCTCTGGTTCGCGTCAGCTCTGGCTACGTCAGGGGTGGGATTTGAGTCTTGGGCTGGAAGCGATTTTCCACTACCACACTTCATCCCACAAGGCTCAGCCTCAGGGGTTGCGGTTTCCTTAAGGAAGTGGGCTCTCTGCTGCTCCTACTGCTGGTAGGTGAAGGTGGGGATGGACTGGTGGTTGAGTGGGAGAGAAGGGGGCTGAGTCCCCTTGGGTGGTGAGTGGGAGAGAAGGGGGCTGAGTCCCCTTGGGTGGTGAGTGGGAGAGAAGGGGGCTGTGTCCCCTTGGGTGGTGAGTGGGAGAGAAGGGGGCTGAGTCCCCTTGGGTGGTGAGTGGGAGAGAAGGGGGCTGAGTCCCCTTGGGTGGTGAGTGGGAGAGAAGGGGGCTGAGTCCCCTTGGGTGGTGAGTGGGAGAAAAAGGGACTGAAACCCTTAGGGGTGGTGAGTGGGAGAGAAGGGGGCTGAGTCCCCTTGGGTGGTGAGTGGGAGAGAAGGGGGCTGAGTCCCCTTGGGTGGTGAGTGGGAGAGAAGGGGGCTGAGTCCCCTTGGGTGGTGAGTGGGAGAAAAAGGGACTGAAACCCTTAGGGGTGGTGAGTGGGAGAGAAGGGGGCTGAGTCCCCTTGGGTGGTGAGTGGGAGGGAAGGGGGCTGAGTCCCCTTGGCTGGTGAGTGGGAGAGAAGGATGACTGAACCCCCTTGGGTGGTGAGTGGGAGAAAAAGGGGGTTTGACCCCCTTGGGCGGTAAGTGGGAGAGAAGGGGACTGAAACCCTTTGGGGTGGTGAGTGGGAGAGAAGGGGGACTGAAGCCCCTTGGGAAGGTCAGCGAGAGGGAATGGGGCGAAAACCCTTTGGTTGGTTGACTGAGCAGGAAGAGGACAGGTAAGTGGTTGAATGGGTGGGTGGGTGGGTAGGTTGTGGATAGGAGATGGGTTGCATGGGTGGGTGGGTAAGTGGGTAGTGGGTACCTGGTTGGTTAGGTGGGTAGTGTTAGAATGTAGTTGGGTGGGTGGGTGGGTGGGTAGGTGGGTACCTGGGTGGGTGAGTAGATGGCTAGTTGGAGGATAGGTGGTGAGTTGGATTTGTGGGTGGATAGGTGGATAGGTATGTGGGTGGTTGAATAGATGGGTGTTGGTGGGTGGTTAGGTGGGTGCTTGGTGATCAGTGGGTGATGGATTGGTTGGGTGGGTGAGTGGGTGGGTGGTTGGGTGAATGGGTGGTTAGGTGGGTGGTTGGGTGATCAGTGGGTGATGGATTGGTTGGGTGAGTGGGAGAGAAGGGGCTGAAACCCCTTGGGTGGGTGAGTGGGAGAGAAGGGGCTGAAACCCCTTGGGTGGGTAAGTGCAGTGTGTAATGGAATGGTGTGGTATGTGTTTAAATATGTGATAGTGTTGTGTGGTATACTGTGGCATATCATATTGTGGTGTGTGAGAGTGTGGTGTGTGAGAGTGTGGTGTGTGAGAGTGTGGTGTGTGGCATCACAGTGCGGCATGGAGTAATGTGGTGAGTCAGAGTGTGGCGTGCCATGAATCTCATGTGCACTGATGTGGCATGATGTCTGCCATGCCATTGCCTGGTTGACAAGGGGGAAGGGGGAGGGGATGAATCCCCATGGCTGGGAGGGCGGGGGCTGAAACCCCTTCGGTGGGCTGAAACCCCTTCGGTGGGCTGAAACCCGTTCAGTGGGGTGTGGGGGGATTGAAACCCCTTGGGTGGAACAGTTGGGGCCGAAACCCCTTGGTTGTACGGTGTGGCATGATTCGGTGTGGCATGATACAGTGGGGTCTGATACGGTATGATACAGTGTGGCATCATACAGTGTTGTATGACACAGGTGGTGTGATACATTGTGCTACCATGCGGTTTGGTGTGATGCAGTGTGTCATAATGTGGTGCGGTTGAATGCACAGTGGTATAATTCAGTGTGGCTTGCTTCATTGTCGCTTGTGTTAGTGTGGCTTTTTACGGCGTGACATACTGGGATCTGCCATTGTATGGCATGGTGTGGCATGTCATTTTGTGGCATGGCATGGTGTGGCATGTCATGTGGTGGCATGGCATGGTGTGGCATGTCATGTGGTGGCATGGCATGGTGTGGCATGATATCATGCCATATGCAGGCTGACAGCATCTGGAGGGCAGCGGAGCACAAAGGAAGGCAAGGAAGACAGTGTGGGGTGGGAAGAGGAGGGAAGTGGGGTTGGGGAGTGGAGGTGTGCCTTGTGGCAAGCATGCTGTCTCACCTGCCATGCCCTTCCCATGGATAGCACGCAGAGGGAAGAGGGGTGAAGCTGGGGAGTGGAGGTGTGCGATATGGCAAGCATGGTTGAGCGCGGAATGAGAATAGATGCCGTACTGCACTATGTACATTCCTGTTAGGTATACATATATGCTAAAAACTCTGCACTGCATGTATGACTTGTGTATATCAAGGAGTATTTTTCTGTAATCTCTAGCAATTAATGAGTCTGCATTGTAGGACGAGGCTTCACCACTAGAAGCATGAGGTTCGTGTAAGAATCCACCTAATTTACCTGTCACGACATATTTTCTTCAGTAAGGGAATGGACCTGTTGCAAGAATTTCCAGCTCGCACTGTTTGAAACTCTTTGTAGGTCCTCCATGTACATCTTCGGTGTACTCGTTTTTTTTTTTTTTTTTTAATACGGAAAAGTACATTAAAGGATAATGTACAAAACGCATCAGGCAGTCGAAACTGTATCGGGAGGGAAGAGCTGCAGTATCGTGTACTGCAGATTCCCTATATCAGCCTACGGTGGTTGATGAGTCATCTTCGGGTTGTCCCAAATGGAGCTGAAGCTGCCCCGCCACGTCAGCAGTGCCCCTTTACTGCAGATCCGCCTCATCACCGTTGCCTCATCAGCTGCCAGATGCCCCCATTCGTCATTGCAAACAGCCACGCCGTGTTTCCGTGCCTCCACTTGTCTCGCCAGGCAATACACTCTGGCATGCGCGACAAACTTTTCCACTGCCATACGTATCACTCTTTTCGGCTGGATCCTGACGCCCTGACGACTTGCCTCACACCTTGCCAACCACACTTGGTGAAGCGTGGTGGCAATAAACGAGCTTTCCGAAAAGCCAGACTTCGTGCTCCTCTGCTGAAGAGCAGGTCCCCCAAACCCTGCCAGTTTAGCAGCGGGTTCATCTCCGCCAATCCCTTCCGCAAGAACCGGACCACCCTCTGGATCGCCGGGCAGCCAAACAGACAATGTTCCGGTGTCTCCTCCGCTCTACAGTGTGGGCAGACCACTTTTTCCTTGAGAAAAAAGAGACGCTCCCCCACTTGCAGATTTCTACAGTGCAACCTTAGCAGAATTTCACGTGCCCGGGCGGGGGTGGCGAGCGAGTCCCTCTGCTTGATGACCCCTTTCCACTCAATCACCCTTCCGTCCCCAATCCACCTCCTCTGCTCTTTCACAGTGCCTGCCGAGCTAACTAGCCCCGTCCTGATCTCCTTCAGCGGCACCACCACCCCGTCCTTGCATAGCTTAGACTGCAGGAGTTTTGTTCTCGTCTCGCCCATCACCCCCAACGCCTTGTTGCCGGCAGCCGCTACCGGCTCCCCACTGTGCAGCCCAAAGTTAACCGGGTATCTCCCGCTTCCAGCCGTGAAAGTACCATCATCGCCTTCCTGGCACATCACCCCCGTCACCCTACCGCTGTCCGTGCCGGTGACTTTCCAGAGTGTAGGGCGTGAAGCAGCGTCCCTCTGATACCGCAGTAGAGGAACTTTAGCCGCAAATTCCTCGCTCGTCAGGGGTTCCAACACCAGCTCTCTCCACCTGGCCGGCGCCGCTCCGAAAGCCTTCAAGGCCAGCTTCGCCGCCTCCACACTGCCAAGTTCGTTCACCAAGGTGCCCTCGTCTTTCAGCCCCCGCGAGCCATCCGGCCGGCGCCAGATCAGATCTCCCATCGTCAGATCCAGCAAACACGCCGAGCCTTTCTGGTTCCCAAACGGACTGGCTCCCCGGAAAGGTATACGTCTGTTGAAAGCTAACCGCTCGCGCTCCACCTCCCAGCGATTTTCCGGCTCCGGGGTGACGCAAAAGGGGGATTTCCAGAATGCTTGCACCATGTCTTTCCACCGCTTGCTTCCCTCCGCCCAGTGCTTCAGCAGGGATTGGTGAGCATATATCGTATCCGGACCCAGAGGCAACGCCGCCGCCCGCTCCGTCAACCACTTCTTGATCGGGTTTGCTTGCAGCATCATGCGCCCGACGTTCTGCACTGCTATGCTCTCAAACCGTTTTTTGGGGCAGATCATCCCCAGCCCCCCCTCCTCCCTTCGTGTACAGACCAGCTCGTAATTCCAGAGAATGAAGGCCTTTTCTTCCGTCGCCTTGATCTTCGACCATATCTCCTCTGGAGGCGGGTAAATGTATGCTTGAAACATGAAGATGGGCGAGATGTACCCGTTGATTATCGTGACTCTCGCCGACGTTGTTAAGTGATGAATCTCCCATTTGGCCAATTCCTTGCGCGCCCTTTCTAACGCCTTTTTCCAGGACGGAAGCGGGTCGCCGTTTGGGGTGATCCAGACACCCAGCAATCTCTCCGGTGCATCTTTATCGGCCCATTTGTACTGCAGGTCCGCCGGTGGGAGTCTCCCTCTGTTCACTCCAAGCGGAAAGACCACCGTCTTATCTTTGTTCACTTTCAGCCCCGATGCCTCCCCAAAGTTTTCCAACACTTCAGCTGCAACAGCCAGTTGCTCCTCCCCGTTCAGCAGAAGCGATGTGTCGTCAGCATAACCCAGATATGCCAGCCTCTCTGCCCCGCCGTCGCCGACACCCAGTCTTCGCCGCGCAAACTCCTGACAGAGTGGCTCCACCGCGCATAAAAACAGGTACGGCGCCAGCGGGCAGCCTTGCCGCACCCCTCTCTCCACCGCAACCCTGTCGCCTGTCCATCCGTTAATATGCAACCTCGTTCCCGCGCCTGTGTGCAGGCCTTTCGCCCAAGACACGAAGTTCTCCGGGATGCCCATCCCTCGCAGTGTACGGAAGAGGAAAGGCCTCGAGATGGAGTCGAAGGCCTTCTGAAAGTCAACCATCAGGAGGAACCAGTCCTCCCCGCCGCTGGCTCCAGCCTCAACCGCGTCTGCTACCACCGCGACCGCATCTGCCAGCTTCCTGCCAGGTAAGAACCCCACCTGGTCCTCCGAAATCACCTCATGCAGAACCCTATTTAGCCTTGTCACCATGACCTTCGCCAGCACCTTGTAGACCGTGCTTAGCAGCGTGATGGGCCGATAGTTCCCAAGCTCCTCCTTACTCCCCTTTTTGTGTAACAGGATCGTGACCGCAGTAGAGATTTCCCGTGGGAGTTCCGCCGAACGCGTGAAGTCCCCGACGAACTTCATCAGCACTGGACCAAGCAGGTCCCAATTATGCTCGAACAGCTCCTTGGGAAGACCGTCCTGGCCGGGGGACTTCCCTGGAGCAAGCTCACGCACCGCCGTCCGGACCTCCTCCTCCGACCATGGCACGCTAAGTGCAGCCCGACTAGCGTCACAGAGCGTCCGATTCATAACCACTGGCTCCGTCACACTGGCGTCCGCCTCCCCACGTCCGCCAAAGGAGTCTTTGAAGAAATCCGTCGCCGCCGCGAGCACCTCCCTCGCGCCCAGGTGAGTTTTCCCCTTGAAAAGAACAGCTGACATTTCCGTCTTGGCCTTATGCACTTTCACCTTCCCGGACAGGAAACCAGTCGTTGCCTCCCCATCCAATTCAGCATTAACCCCGAGCCACTCCTGCAGCTTCTGTCGATGACTTTTTTTCGTATGCGTCGAGCAGTTCTTCTTTCTTGAGCAAAATAGCTCCCGTGCGTTTGCAGCCCGGATTATGCGACAGCCGCTGCCTGTAGACCTTCACCTCCTTCTCCAGGTGTCTTTTGGTCGCCCCGACCCGCTTCCTTTCTTCCCTTGTGTATGCTCGCAGACACGCTGACAGCCTGGGCAGCATCTTGCCGAGGCCACCGCCTGCATCCTTGAGCACCCGCTCCACTCGATTTCGGACTCCTCTCTTTTTCGCCTGTACAGCCCTCAACCTTCAGATGCCAGGCCCCCTGTCAACCGCCGCCGACGACTCCAGTGCAACAATCACCGCGCACCAGTGATCCGTCATCATGTTCGTGATATCCGCGTGCTTTACCTCCACCAGTTTTCCTAACAGCGGCTGTGTCACCAGCGCACGGTCAATCCTGGTGCTCACCCCTTTGGATTTCATATGGAAAGTGTATTCCCTTTTCCCAGGATGCGTAAAACGGAAGACGTCGGTGAGCGGGGTGTTCGCCCAGAACCCCATCAGCCTTCTGTTCTCCGCCGCCGACCCAACACAAGACGACTTGTCCAGCGCTGGATCCTCCACCACATTTAGGTCACCCATCACCATGACATTCTGCAACTTCGGTAAGGTGCTCAGGAAAGGCTCCAGACAGTCCCTGTAAAACGGAGCCCTGTTTTCCGGTTGCGCCGGTAAGTAAAGTGCCACCAAGAGCAGCTCCAGATCCCCCCAGCGGACCACCACCCCCGCCAGACGCCCTGAAACATGTGCATAACTGTCCGTGAAGACCATATCTTCGGTGTACTCGTATACCTCGATCAAAGTGTTCGCATTCTCGTTTTGCAGCTCCCCCAATCAGATTGAATCTGCATACGAATTCAGAATATCCTAAGCTTGTTTCTGACAAATGTCAGAAGACGGTTTCACAGTTCGCGTATGACAAGGAGACTCCACACAACTCGGAATTGAAGAAGCTTCAGGTAAATTCTTCAGGTAGAATCAAAACATGGGGGAATTCTATCTAAGCGTCCAATCTAATTGTTTGAGTTTCAACACACCTCCGCTTCTCGTCCCAGCCCCAATCTGATTTTCTCCCGCCCAGTACTGAAAACCCGTGCATGACTCTCAAGAAGCTTGTTACCACCTTGCGCGACCAAATACCACAAAACATTCTTCGCAAAGATTCCAGCTCTTCAGGCTGTCATTCGCGAAACGTACGAGTAGTTACAGCTAACTTCGGTGTCGGTGATGAAAAGAGAGCCAATTAGCGGGAGGAGGCTCTGGTAGCCGTTGCAGGTGTCAGAGGGTGTGAGAGGGAGACTCCAATTCCAATCTGCTCCCATCAGATCTTCCTCCCGCTTTTCCTCCCTTTCCATGGCTGCCGCCGCCTTTGTTGCCTGAGACCCATTCGTTGCCCAATTCATCGTTCGTTTTTGCCCTCCGTCCCGCCGAGCCGACAGCGCTGCGTGCTCATGTTCTAAATCGTCAACCCACGAACATGAATACCCACCAATAGTGAAGCCTTTGACCTCCGATTTCACGGTTGGTGTTCGACTATCCCTGACACGACAATCCTGGACCAATCCATCGAATTTCCTTTCAACCGTTGCGTTTTTTCGCTGTTCAACTTCGTTTTGATGAACGGTTGCGATTTCTTGCACCCTCTCTCGAGGTGGTAGAATGTCGATCTAGGTAGCCTTGGGGTTGGGTTGTGGCGAGGACCCACGCTTTCGTGCAGCAGCCTCGTTTTGCCTCATTCTAGTCCGCCTGCTTCGCATTTTGCTGCCGTTTTCTCACCCTAGCTGCTCGGCTCACGACGTTCCTTGCCAAAACGACTTCGAACTCTTCTCAATCTAGAGCGTTCCGTGGAGTTTACACGGCATTATTGATGCGGAATCGGACCATAGTCTTCGCTATACGACGTCATCCTTTACCATTCAGCTTCGATTTTCGAGATTCGCGTGGGAATGTCGCATTTCGACGTCCATTTCTCGGAATTCACGTGAAGTCTTGATTTCGACGTGGTTTTTCGCTGGTCGTCGCCAACTCCGGCTGTTTCGCGTCGAACTCGCAATTCCGGTAAAAAATAGTTATGGATCGGATAGTTTATTCGTTGATTAGTCAGCTTCGCGATTCTCGGAAAAGCAGCTAATGGTCGTGTCTCTCGCGACTGGCAGGCGAGCACAGAACGAGTCCAAGTCGTTTGACATTCCAGTCCGCCATTTCTCGCGCTTCGACGTCAACCTTGGCGATTTCGCCATCCGTTACACTCGTCACCGAGTAAGGAGATTTCGGAGCATTTTCGGAGTAAGGATTCTTTTCCGTGAAACCTCTGTATTTTCTACCTGCGATTTTCGTTTTTCCCAGCAATTTCAACTCCCTGTGTCGTCTAACTTGGCAGACGCACCATCCAAAGCGGAAATTTGAGGAGATTGACCAGCCCAAGGCGAGGACCATTAGCAACCGAGAGCAAGCGGGCGTCATCAGGCTCTGCCATGCGCTGTTGGATGTCCGCGCTCAGCTCCACCCATCACCACGCAAGGTACTCCCCTCAGCTTCCCTCCTCCTCTCTCTTGCACCGCGTTTTCCGCTCTCGTTTTCCACTGCTCTCGTTTTCCGCTCCATTGGTGCTCTGCTCTCCATGTCCTGCTTTTCTCGCCATGCTGCTTTCCTCGCCATGCTGCTTTCCTCGCCCTCCTGCCCTCCTTCCTTCCATGTGCTACTCGTCCCCTCTCAACCTAGCTCCCTCTGCGTCAATTTCCCTGCCTGCGCCGCCTCAATCTCCCACCAGATGCACGGCTATGAGGGCGGATGGGCGGATGGGCAAGCGGAGAGGCGAGGGAGGCAAGCAGCTGAGTGTCGTCCGCTCGCCTCGCCTCTACACGCAGCAGCAGCAGCCGTGCCTCCTCTCCACTCCACTCGCCTCTCACCCTCGCCACAGCTAAGTGCCCCGCATTGCTCCTCGGCTCCTCGCTGCTCTCTGCCTTCCATTCCATGCTTGCACGCGCTTCCATGCTCGCTCCCGTCATGCTGTGCGCCATCCCAGAGACCTCCCTCCCCCATGGTAGCAGGTATCTCTTCTTTTGGTACAGCCTCAGGTATTCATTTGACTTTGGTTCAGCCGGTACGAGGTCTCTTGGGTGTGCCACTGCAGCTGTCCACGCATGCGTGCATCATTTTTGCAAAATCAGCACTCGACCCTCTCTCGTCACTCCACTCGTCTCCGCTTCTGTCCTCATTGCCTTCCCCACTCCTCTGTCCCCCCCTTTACTCCCCGTTTTTCTCCTCGCCTCCTTTCCTCCCTCTGTCCCGATATGTCCTCTCTTCTCCCAGCAGGTCGCTCACACGGGACTGGAAGTGGCGGGTGACATGGAGTGCACAGGCAGCAGCTGCTCTCCACCCAACCCACCCACAGCTAAGTACCCCGCCCTTCCTGTCTTCTCCCAACCCTCGCACTGTGTTGCTTGTCATGCTTGCACCATGCATTGCACCGCCTTTTTCACTGCTCTTTGTCACGCCCATTAGACCTCCTTCCCCCAAGGTAATAGGTATATTCTATTCTTGGTACAGTCTCAGGTATTTGTTTTAGTTTGGTTCAGCTGGTACGAGGTCTCTTGGGTGTGCCACTGCAGCAGTCCATTCATGCACGCATCATGCTTGCGCTTGCTGCACTCTTCACTTTCACTTGTCTTGAGCTTTTTTCCTCACTGCTCCTCCCACTCCTTTGCGCCCCCTTCACTTCCCCCTTTTCTCCCCCCCTCTCCTCCCTTCCTCTCTCAGTCCCGTCCTACCCCCTCTTGTCCCAGCAGGTCGCTCACACGGGAGTGGCAGTGGCGGGGGACATGGAGTGCACAGGCAGCAGCTGCTCTCCACCCAACCCACCCACAGCTAAGTACCCCGCCCTTCCTCTCTTCTCCCAAACCTCACACTGAGTTGCTTTGCTTGTCATGCTTGCACCATGCATTACACTCCCTTTTTCCCTGCTCTTTGTCACACCCATTAGACCTCCCTCCCCCAAGGTAGTAGGTATCTTTTTTCTTGGTACAGCCTCAGGTATTTGTTTTAGTTTGGTTCAGCTGGTATGAGGTCTCTTGGGTGTGCCACTGCAGCAGTCCATTCATGCACTCTACATGCTTGCGCTTGCTGCACCCTTCACATTGTTACCCCTAGCCGCTTACTCACTTGTCTTCAGTTCTCTCTTTGCAGGTGGAGGGGAGGGGCGTGGGGGTCAACACCGCCGCTCCCTCGCGCTCCTCCCCTGTGGCCGTGCAGGTGGCAGTGGTGGGAGGGGAGGGGGGCAGCACTCCACTCGGCTGGGATGGGATGGGAGAGTATCGGGATGGGGTCGTCTGGAACAAGGTGAGCCTCTTTTCCCTCGTGCGCTCATGCTGCTGCTTGGTTTTCTCCCCATGCTCACTTGCCGTTTTTTGCTCCCTTGCTTCCTTCTAGCTTGTGCCTACTCTTCTCCCCATTCTCACTGCTGTCCCTTCATCCCCTGCCTACCCCTGCCTTGCTCCCTCCCTCCCAGTACATTGAAGGCTGTAGCAGAACAGCACGGGGCAGCAGGAGGGCAGCAGCGGAGGGGAGGGGAGGGGCAGCGGCAGCAGCAGGGGAAGCAGAGTAGCAGACCGGGAGTGGCAGTGGCGGGGGACATGGAGTGCACAGGCAGCAGCTGCTCTCCACCCAACCCACCCACAGCTAAGTACCCCGCCCTTCCTGTCTTCTCCCAACCCTCGCACTGAGTTGATTTGCTTGTCATGCTTGCCCCATACATTACGTTCCCTTTTCCACTGCTCTCTGTCACACCCATTAGACCTCCCTCCCCCAAGGTAGTAGGTTTTTTTTTTCTTGGTACAGCCTCAGGTATTTGTTTTAGTTTGGTTCAGCTGGTACGAGGTCTCTTGGGTGTGCCACTGCAGCAGTCCATTCATGCACGCATCATGCTTGCGCTTGCTGCACCCTTCACATTGTTACCCCTAGCCGCTTACTCACTTGTCTTCAGTTCTCTCCTTGCAGGCGTAGGGGTCGACACCGCCACTCCTCCGCACCCCTCCCCTTGTGGCTGTGCAGGTGGCAGTGGTGGGAGGGGAGGGGGGCAGCACTCCACTCGGCTGGGATGGGATGGGAGAGTATCGGGATGGGGTCGTCTGGAACAAGGTGAGCCTCTTTTCCCTCGTGCGCTCATGCTGCTGCTTGGTCTTCTCCCCATGCTCACTTTCGATTTTTGCTCCCTCCCTGCCTTGATGCTTCTGCCTGCTGCTTCTCAGTGCTGTCCGTTAATTTCCTTCCTCCCTCCCTCTCCCCTCCCTCCCAGAGCATTGAAGGCTGTAGCTGTGCGGCACGGGGCAGCAGCAGGGCAGCAGCGGCAGCAGCAGCAGGGGAAGCAGAGTAGCAGACCGGCAGCAGCAGCAGATGCAGCAGCAGCAGCAGCAGCAGCAGCAGCGGCAGAAGCAGCAGCAGCAGCAGCAGCAGCAGCAGCAGTAGCAGTGGGGGGGGGCAGGCTAGGCTAGGTGCTGGTGAGGTATGGTACCAGGTGTGGTATGGTACCAGGTGTGGTATGGTAAGTTAATCCCCCTCCTCTCTCTTTCCCCCTCCTCTGCTGCAGGCTGAAGTTTGGAGCACTGGAGCAAGGGCGGGAGAGTGGAGTCCACCTCTCACTCACCTCTCCCTCTCTCCCTTCTCCCTTCCTCCCAGCAGCACCCTGCCTGGACCACAGAGGAGTCTCTCCCTAATCCCCCCTTCTCTCTCCACATCCCAGCAGCCTCAGCATCATGGCGCTCTGCATGGCAAGTACAGGTAAGGAGGTAAGTACAGGTAAGGAGGCATGGGGGTGAAGTGTGGGGAGCATCCTTGGGGCCAGCATCCTCTGGGGTTGTGTCTTGTGGTGGTGGGGTGTGGTGGGTGGAATCTGCGCGGCACGGCACTCGGTGCTCAGGTTCCCAATCCGGCGTTTAAGGCTTAATGGACACCGTCAGAGCCGACCGGCCGGCGGCTCTGGTTCGCGTCAGCTCTGGCTACGTCAGGGGTGGGATTTGAGTCTTGGGCTGGAAGCGATTTTCCACTACCACACCTCACCCCACAAGGCACAGCCTCTAGGGGTGTTGTTTCCTTGGGGAGTTGAGCTCTCTGCTGCTCCTACTGGTGGCATGTGAAGGTGAGATGGGCTGGGTGGGTGAGTGAGAGAGAAGGGGGCTTAAACCCCTTGGGTGGGTGAGTGGGGCCTGAAACCCCTTGGGTGGGTGAGTGAGAGGGAGAGGGGCTGAGTCCCCTAGGGTGGGTGAGTAAGGGGAAATGGGCTGAGTCCCCTAGGGTGGGTGAGTAAGGGGAAATGGGCTGACTCCCCTAGGGTGGGTGAGTGAGGGGAAAGGGGCTGAGTCCCCTAGGGTGGGTGAGTGAGGGAAAATGGGCTGAGTCCCCTAGGGTGGGTGAGTGAGGGGAAAGGGGCTGAGTCCCCTAGGGTGGGTGAGTGAGGGGAAAGGGGCTGAGTCCCCTAGGGTGGGTGAGGGGAAAGGGGCTGAGTCCCCGAGGGTGGGTGAGTGAGGGGAAAGGGGCTGAGTCCCCTGGGGTGGGTGGGTGAGGGGAAAGGGGTTGAGTCCCCTAGGGTGGGTGAGTGAGGGGAAAGGGGCTGAGTCCCCTGGGGTGGGTGGGTGAGGGGAAAGGGGCTGAGTCCCCTAGGGTGGGTGAGTGAGGGAAAATGGGCTGAGTCTCCTAGGGTGGGTGAGTGAGGGGAAAGGGGCTGAGTCCCCTAGGGTGGGTGAGTGAGGGGAAAGGGGCTGAGTCCCCTAGGGTGGGTGAGGGGAAAGGGGCTGAGTCCCCGAGGGTGGGTGAGTGAGGGGAAAGGGGCTGAGTCCCCTGGGGTGGGTGGGTGAGGGGAAAGGGGCTGAGTCCCCTAGGGTGGGTGAGTGAGGGGAAAGGGGCTGAGTCCCCTGGGGTGGGTGGGTGAGGGGAAAGGGGCTGAGTCCCCTAGGGTGGGTGAGTAAGGGGAAAGGGGCTGAGTCCCCTAGGGTGGGTGAGTAAGGGGAAAGGGGCTGAGTCCCTTAGGGTGGGTGAGTAAGGGGAAAGGGGCTGAGTCCCCTAGGGTGGGTGAGTAAGGGGAAAGGGGCTGAGTCCCCTAGGGTGGGTGAGTAAGGGGAAAGGGGCTGAGTCCCCTAGGGTGGGTGAGTAAGGGGAAAGGGGCTGAGTCCCCTAGGGTGGGTGAGTAAGGGGAAAGGGGATGAGTCCCCTAGGGTGGGTGAGTAAGGGGAAAGGGGCTGGATTCCCTAGGGTGGGGAGGAGCTGAACCCATCTGCGCCAATATGGCGTCCAGCCCCTTCGATGTCGACGTCTGAGAGCCACAAGGGGGATGGGGAGAGGGAGAGTGAGGATGCACAGACGGGAGAGGGAGGATGAGAAAGGAGAGGGTGGGGTGAGGAGGGTTGGGCAGGGGAGATGGTGGGATGGGGAGAAGGAGATTTTGGAGATGGGGTGGTGAGCAGTACTCCCACCACCTCCACTGCCTGTGTGGATCAAAGCCGGACTGCTGCTTAGTTACCCTTGCTCTCGCCTCTTTCCTTCCTCTCGACTCTCACCTTCCTCTTGCCGCTCACCTGCATGTCTGCCGCTCACCTGCATGTCTGCCTTGCGTTTGGCAGCAGCAGCCTCTTTAGAACGCGCGTCCAGCACCCTCACCACCTCCACCGCCTCGCCTGCAAAGTCCACCACCTCCCGCACCTGCAGCACGCTCCGTGGCCAAGGCGCAAAGCGCAGGGGGGAGCAACAAGATGAAGAGCAAATGAGGGAGGCATCCACGACAAGGATATCCGCCAAGGACCAAGGCGCGCCCGCGGACCAAGGCGCGCCCCCGGACCAAGGCGCGCCCCCGGACCAAGGCGCGCCCCCGGACCAAGGCGCGCCCCCGGACCAAGGCGCGCCCCCGGACCAAGGCGCGCCCCCGGACCAAGGCGCGCCCCCGGACCAAGGCGCGCCCCCGGACCAAGGCGCGCCCCCGGACCAAGGCGCGCCCCCGGACCAAGGCGCGCCCCCGGACCAAGGCGCGCCCCCGGACCAAGGCGCCCCCGCGGACCAAGGCGCGCCCCCGGACCAAGGCGCGCCCCCGGACCAAGGCGCGCCCCCGGACCAAGGCGCGCCCCCGGACCAAGGCGCGCCCCCGGACCAAGGCGCGCCCCCGGACCAAGGCGCGCCCCCGGACCAAGGCGCGCCCCCGGACCAAGGCGCGCCCCCGGACCAAGGCGCGCCCCCGGACCAAGGCGCGCCCCCGGACCAAGGTCACGGATATCCGTCAAGGATATCCGCCAAGGATATCCGCCAAGGATATCCGCCAAGGATATCCGCCAAGGATATCCGCCAAGGATTTCCGAAAAGGATATCCTTGGAGGTCGAGTGGAAGAGAGGGGATAAAACCCCGATGTTTTCTAAGTGGAAATGGTGGGGGCCTGAATCCGTCAGGGTAAGTGCAGTGAGCGGCAATGTTGGGGGTCTGAATCACCCAGGGTGAGTGCAGTCTGAAATCCCTTGCGTGGTGAAGTGAAGTGGAATGGCACTGACACCCTTGGGTACAGTTTGGGATGCTACACTCTAGTATTGTTCAGTTTGGTATGATTCCGATGTAGTATCATACGGTGTGGTATGATACAGTGGGGTCTCAATCATTACTGTATGATAAATTGTGGCATCATACAATGTTGTATGATCCAGGTGGTGTGATACAGTGTGTTATCATACAGTTTGGTGTGATGTTCAGTTTGGTGTGTGTTATCATACAGTTTGGTGGCATGATGCAGTGCGGTTGGATGCACAGAGGTATATAATTCGGTATGGCTTATTTTAGTGTTGCTTGTTTCAGTGTGGCTTTTCTCAGTGTGGCTTGTTACTGCGTGGCATACTGGGGTATGGCATGGTTTGGCATGTCTCTTTGTGGCATGGCATGGTGTGGGTGGCATGTCATTTTGTTGCATGGCATGATGTGGCATGGCGTTTTGTTGCATGGCATGATGTGGCATGTCGTTTTGTGGCATGACATGGCATGGTGTGGCATGTCATTTGGTGGCATGGCATGGTGTGGTATGTCATTTTGTGGCATGGCATGGTGTGGGATGATATCATGCCATATGCAGGCTGGCAGCATCTGGAGGGCAGCGGAGCGATGGAAGGCAAGGAAGATAGTGTGGGAGGGAAGAGGAGGGAAGTGGGGTCGGAGAGTGGAGGTGTGCCTTGCGACAAGCATAGCTGCTTCACCTGCCATGCCCTACCGATGCATTGCACGGAGAGAAGAGGAGGGAGGTGGTGTCGAGTTGGGGAGTGGTGGAGGTGTGCCATGTGGCAGTTATGGTTGAGTGTGGAATGAGTATAGATGCTGAGGTGCACTATGTACATTTTTCTGTATAATATAACTAGATGTAAAAAAACTGTGTGCATGCCTTTTATAATATTGCAAAATGTCAGTGAAAATATCACTTGGAATCATTATCTCAACCACTTAGTCTCGCTAACAAATTATAGCGTGATACCGATGAGTGTTCATATATCGCAGTGTATCGAGTCGGCACGACCTGACTAACAGGGCACGTAAACCAAAACCCTTGGTTCTCCCATTCGGATTAGGGCAAGGTTTTGTAGTCATTGGCTTTCCCAGTGCTACAAAGGAGATCCCTCGAAGGAGAGGGAGAGCCATAGCGTATCTTGAGCTCTCCGTTGGGGCCTCCGTTGAGGTCCCCGTCGAGCTCTATTGACGGAAACTCAGTCTTGGTCTTGCTTCTCGTTCGAACGTTACGCCCGCCATGGGGAAATCGGAGAACCCGCGGGTGTTTTTTGATATATCAATGAGCGGGAATAAGGCTCAGCGTGTTGTAATGGAGGTGCGGTAAATGTTCGCAATTTCGCCTCTCGTTTGCTCGCCGCTTGTTGTAATTCTCCTTGCTGCTAGCCTATCATTGCGTCCGGACTTTCAGGTCGATTCGAAAGTCACCTCATTTTTCTCGTTGCTCTCGTTCAGTGATCCTTTCTCGTGCATTTTTCCATTCGCGGCCATCGCGGTAACTCTCTCTGTGCGCTTGACCGACATCGGGCTTTATTTTCCCTCCGCTCTCTCGCAGCTATTCGCTGACGTGGTTCCGCGCACGGCGGAGAACTTCAGAGCGCTTTGCACGGGTACGTCCGCTTCTCCTTTTGCTGCGATCTGGTTTCATGCTCACAAAAACAGTCGGATTGCCACATTTCATCCATGTATCCCAGCTAGCTTTCGCATCCGTGAAATTGCGCTCTCCCCCCTCTCTTCCCGACTTCCTCCCCACCACCTCTTTTTGAGACGTCTAAAAAGCTTTCGCATCCGTGAGATTGCGCTCCCCCCTTCTCTCTCCCGACTTCCTCCCCACCACCATCTCCCCCTCCTAACGCTCTTTTTCCCATTGCAACCCTGCTAAAACGCGCCATGGCAACCCATTATTTTGACATGCGTTATTGCATCTGACGTACCGTCTTCACTCTTTGCGGGTCAACGCGCGTGGCAGGGGAGATGGGAGAGGGCAAGTTCACGCGCAAGCCGCTCCATTTCAAGGGCACCGTTTTCCACCGCGTCATCCCCGGCTTCATGGCGCAGGTGCGTCCTCTCTCTTTCTCGTTCTTTCTCTTGACTTGAGGCGACTTTTGAGTCGACTCAAAAGTCAGTCTCTCGCTCCATTTCAAGGACACCGTCTTCCACCGCGTTATCCCGGGCTTCATGGCGCAGGTGCGCTCGCATTCTTTCTGTCACATGTAGGCGTTTCATCTCTTAAGATGCGTTTCCTCTTTAGGCGCTTTTAAAAATGAGCGCAGGTGCATTCGCTTTCGCGCACTTCCTCCCTCCGTATTCGTTCCCGTTCCCGTCCTCTATCCCTCCCAGCCTCTCTCGCCGTCTACCGCAACATCAAGTACCCCGTTCTGTGTCCTGTTCTCGATTCTCTCGCGTGCCATCTCCCTTGCTTGGCCTGGATTTTCAAACAGCTAATCCCTCGTCTTTCCCCTCCTCCTTTCCGCCTCCTCCTTTCCCCCTCCCGCTCTCCCTCTTGGTGCCTCTGCGTACCTACCACCCCGTCGGGCTTCACAGGGCGGCGATTTCAGCAACAAGGACGGTACGTCCTTCCCGTTTTGCCCTCCGCCATGATTCTTCCCCTCCCCCCTCCCCCCCCTTCCCCCCCCCTCTCCCCACCCCGCCCCGTCCCCTCTCTCTTCCCGCCCCCTCCGCCTTTGCTTCGCTATGCGCGAACCATTCACTGTTCACCGTTCTGATCGCCTTCCACGCCACTCAGGATCACGTGCTACTTTTGCGAATTCTCAAGAGTTTATGGGCCGTCATTATCTCCTGTAAAACTCGTTCTGTGCTCGAGCCGACTCGAAACTCGATTTTTCGCAAACCAGTCTGAGTTCTTATTTACCGTCCCCACCTGCCATTTTACCCCCGTGGCCCCCTCCCCAAAACCCATCCCCTCTGCTACACGTGCACGCGGGCACACTCGCTGCTGTGAACACAACCGGTGGTGGTGCAGGCACGGGAGGGGAGAGCATCTATGGCGGCAAGTTCGCAGGTCAGTCAGACTGCAACGATTCCCTCAATGCACCCTAACTCTCCGCTTGAAAATGCTCTGTTCTTTGCTGGAATCCTGTGCACTATATACGCGCGCACAGTGCCTTGCCCTATGCCGCTTTCCCGCTTGAAAAAAAGCTAACTAACGCTTTCATGTCACCATACTTCTACGGCTTTCATTCCATCCTTCAGCCTCACTCGTTTCCTGCCTTGAACCCCACACCCCTCTCCCCCCAATTCTCTTCCATCCGCTCCCCTTCCCTTCTCAACCCTCGCTCCCCCCCTCCTTTCTCCGCTCTCCATTCCCACTCCACTCCGCCCAAACCCTTTTCCCCCACTCCCCATTCCTGCTCGTGTGTTCTGTCTCTTCCTTCTCCCACCAAATGCCCAAATGCCGACGGCAGACGAGAGCTTCAAGCTGCCGCACGCGGCGGCGGGGACTCTGTCCATGGCGAACGCGGGACCCAACACGAACGGCAGCCAGTTCTTCCTCACCTTCAAGGCCACTCCTCACCTTGACGGGTGCGTTGTAAAGGGGGGGTGTGGGGGGAAAATGAGAGCTTTCGAGAAGTCCTGAAGTTGCCAAAGGGGAACGCCCACGAGCGGCAGCCAGTTCTTCCTCACCTTCAAGGCCACTCCGCACCTCGACGGGTGCGCTGCCTGTTCCCTTGGGAAGGGAAGAGAGAGCGGGAGAGAAGAGTGAGGTGGGGAGGGGAAGAGAGTGAGGGGAGAGGAGATAGAGTGAGACAGAAGGAGAGAGAGGGGGAGAGGAGGGGAGAGAGGGGAAGAGGCTGGGAGATTGGGAGTGAGAGACGGACTGAAGGGTGTGAGGAGAGAGGAGGATAGCTGCGGCGGATGTGGCACGTCTCAGTCTGAACCTGTTCCTGCTCCCGATTTGCATTTTAGGGTTTATGTCGCCCCTTTTTCCTCTTCACCACCCGTTTCCGTCTGCTGTTCCCCAAACACCCCACCACCCCTCCTGCCCGCCCCTTTCCAACCTTTGCGTGCGCAGCAAGCACGTGGTGTTTGGGCGAGTGGTGGAGGGAATGGAGGTGGTGAGGGCCATGGAGAGCCAGCCCACGGGGGACAGGGACCGGCCTGTGTTCCCCATCAAAATCACCAAGTGCGGCCAGCTGCCCCCCGCTGCTGCGAGTGGCGGGAAGAGCGGGAAGAAGGCGCGCGGAGAGGAGAAGGAGAAGGGCGAGGAGAAGGAGGAAGAGGGTGGGAAGGGAGGGAAGGGCGGGAAGAGCGGGAAAGGGAAGGAGAAAGAGAAGGAGAAAGGGAAGGAGGAGAAAGGAAAGAAGCGGCGACGGGGAGAGAGTTCTGAGGAAGAGAGTGAGGAGGAGGAGGAGGATGAGGAGGAGGAGGAGGAGGAGGAGGAAGAGGCGTAGCAAGGGAAAGAAGAAGAAGGGCAGTGGGAAGGGAGGTGGCAGTAAGGGAAAGGGCAAGAAGGCGAAGAAGGGAAAGCAAGGGAACAAGAAGAAACGTGGGAAGGACGGTGGGAAGCGTGGGAGTAAGAGGAGGAGAAAGGATGAGTCTAGCAGTGATGACAGTAGCGAAAGTGACTCTGACGAGTCTTCTGATTCCGATGCTAGTTCGGACTCCCGAAGCAGCTCGTCAGGCTCGGAAGGCTCGTCAGATAATCGAAGCTCCGAGTCAGGCTCGGAATCTGACAGCAGCAGCTCTGATAGCGAGTCTGACTCCTCAGGTTCGGAGGCTGATAGGAAGAGGAAAAAGGGAAAAGGAAAGAGCGGTGGGAAGGGGAAGGCTCGTGGAAAGGGCTCGGCTAGAAAGGAAGACGAGAGGAGGGGGAAGGGGAAGGGGAAGGGAGGCGAGGGAGGGGAGAAAAGCAAGGGGAAAGGGAAGCATGGGGGTGGGAAGAAGGATGATGATTGGGAGGTGGATGAGGAGGAAGAAGGGAAGGGGAAAGGAAAGGGGAAGGTGAAGGAGAAGGAAAAAGAGAAGGAAAAGGAGAAGGGGAAGAAGGTTGGGAAGGGCGAGGAGATGAGAGATGGCAAAGAGGGAAAATCGAAGGTGCAGGGGTCGAAGGGTAGGCGGCAAGAGGAGGATGAGAGTGAGGATGAGCAGAGAAAGGGGAAGGAGCGAGGTCGGGAGAAGGAGGAGGAGGGAGAGGAGGGGAAGAAGGCCCAGGAGAAGGGCAGAGGCAAAGGGGAGAAGGAAGGGCGAGGAGGAAAGGGCAAAGGAGGGAGCACGAACAAGGGGAAGGAGAAGAGGTATGACAGGTGGCATGGGAAGGTGATGGTGGGGGTGGGTGCTTTGGCGCAGACCCCTGTACTTGTATTGTATGGCATTGCCGGGTGGCTGTCAGGTGTTCTGTCAGGTGTTCTGTCAGGTGGGCTGTATCAAGAATGCATACGGTTTCTCTTGGCTTACATGGTTGGGTGCTCTCTCTCATGTGCTGGTACCGTGGATTTGTGCCTCACTGTGTGGTGTTTTGTGTATGCTGTGCGGTGCTGTATGGTGCTGCATGTTGCTGTTTGGTGCTGTGTGGTGCTGTGTGGTCATGTACGGTTCTGTGTGGTGCTGTGTTGCAGCAAGTATTCGGACGAGGAGGAGTCAGGCAGTGGTGCATCCCAATCGTCTAGCGAGAGTGGTAGCAGCAGCGAGGATGAGGAGGAAACGAAGCCAGCTCGCAAGGACAAGGGTGAGCTCGAAAAGCAGGAAGAGGGCGAGGGGCATGGAGAGAGGGGGGGATGAGGGGTGGGGATGGGAAGGGGAAGATTATATGGGGAGGAAGGGTTGCATTAAGGGGATTCTATGGTTAGAAATGCGGGTTTTGAAATGGGACATGCGGATTATAACTCCTTAATGCATTGTGTGGTAAGGGGGAGGGAGAGGAGAGGGAGAGTGGGGGTAAGCACGAAAGTGAAGAGCGGTTGTTAGCTGCATTGTGTGCACTGTGAATTACCTGCCTTCCCTGCTGCTAGTGACTGCTAGCGATTGCTAGTGATTGCTGCCTCATTTCTCGCCCTCTGATATGTCATTCTTCTCTTTTGGATGCCATATGTTGTGTTCTGGACTGTGGTGTGTTGTTCCATGCGATGCTTTGCGGTGCGGCGTTGTGTGGTGTGTTTCTGTGCGGTGCTGGTGTTTTATATAACTGTACTGGCTACTGCTGCGCAGGGAAGGGCTACGGGGTCAGAAAGGGCGAGGAGGAGTCAGGAAGGCGAGATGGGAAGGAGAAGGGTGGAAAGGGAAAGGGCAGTCAGAAGAATCGAGCAGAGAGGAAAGAGAGTAGTAGCGGCCGCAAATCCCGGGCACAAGAGGTAGAGGCAGAGCAAGAGACAGAGCGAGAGACAGAGCGTGGGGAGGAAGGTGGGAAAAGGAAGGCCAGAAAGCACTTGAAGAAGGTTGATGAAGACACAGGGGAGGACGGAGTGGGTGATGGGGGGGATGAGAGAAGGGCGGATGCGAGGAGAGAGGAGGCGGATGGCGATAGCGATAGCGATAGGCCGAGAGGGAGAGCTGGGAGAGAGGATCAGGATGCTGCTGCTGAGAAGAAGGCAAGGAGGAAGGGGAGTGAAAGGACGAAAGGAGATGGTGGCAAGAAAGACTTAATGGAAATAGGGGCTATGGACGAGGGTGTAGCGGAGCAGGAAGGAGGTGCGGTGGTGGAAGAGAGGCGTGATAAGATGAGGGTGGAGAAAGGAGGCAAGGGGAGGTGGGGGTCCGGTCGAGGAAAAGCTGAGGGTAACGAGGAGGAGGAGGAGAAGAAGGAAAAGAAGGGGGAGGAGCAGGTGGAGGAAGAGGATTGGGGTAGGGATGTGGATATGACGGCAGTGGAGGTAGACAGGGGCGTGGGTGGAGGAGGAGGAGGAGGAGGAGGAGCAGGGAGGGAAGGCGAGAGGGGAAGATGGTACAGGCAGAGGGAGGCTGCTGAAGCGAAGCAGCGGCGCAAGAAGCAGGTCACCTTCCCGCTCTCCTCGCCATTCCCCCACTCCCCAGCGATACCGCTCCCCCGCCCGTTCCCGCTCTCCCCTCCGCTCCCGTTCTCCTCGGCAGTACCGCTCCCCTCCTCGCTCCCGCTCGCCTTCCCGTTCCCCGTCTCCCCCTCCTCCTCGCAAGCGGGTTACTGGGAGTGTGCATGACAGGCTGGGTGCAGCGCCTGGTGCTGCTGCAGCTGCTGTTGTCGCGGCTGCTGCTGCTGCTGCCGCTGCCGACACAGCCGCTGCTCTTCCAGCAGGAGTAATCCCACCTGTTGAGACACTTACCCCTGCCTCAGCTGCAGGTGGTGATGCTACAGCTGCTGCTGCTGCTGCTTATGGTGGCGATGCTGCTGGTGGTGCTTATGGCGGTGGTGGAGGGGGTGGTGGAGGTCCGTTGCGGGTGCGCAAGGGCAGAGGGTTTTCACAGCAGTTTGCGTTTGCGCGCAAGTACCGCACTCCCTCTCCCTCTCCTGAGCTGCTTCCACCTGCAAGATTCAGAGGCAGGGGCTATGGAGGAGGGTACGGGGATGGCTACAGCAGAGGGAGGCTGTATGGCGGCAGGTGAGACAGGGTCCTGTTTCCAGGTGGTTTTGCCAGGTGGTTTTGTCAGGTGGTGTTGACAGGTCGTATACGCAGTGCTGAATGTATTGGTGTGTGTTGTGGTCTTGACAAAATGGGTTTTACTCACTAGGAAAAAAATCAGAAATTTTACACCCTTCTGAGCATTCTCTCCATTACCTCCATTTGTTTGCCTGCCAAAACAGGGAGTATGACGATTCCAGAGGAGGGAGCGGCCGGGCATGGGGCAGTGGAGGGGGGCGATACCGGGACCGCAGTGACAGCCCCGCTCCCCGCAGGAGGAGCCCTGATTGGTCGAGAAGCCCCCCGAGAAGGAGGGGGCGGGGAGGGGGCAGGTGAGGGGCCAAGGCCCGGGTTTCCACTTGGTGAATGGGAAGTGCAGGAAATGCGCTCCAGTGATTACTCGTTGCCCGTTGCTCGCTGCTCGTCGCTTGTTGCTTGCTGCTCGCTGCTCGCTGCTTGCTGCTCTTTGCTCGGAGCCACATGCGCCTTTCTAAGCGTTCAACTGTTTGCTGTGTGCATATCATTGAGTCACTGAGATTCGCCGTGTCTAGGTGCACGAACTCCACACGGCAGGAGAACGTGGGGATCATTGCGTGCTCTATCTGCATCACCTACCCATAATGTTCTCCCCGCCCTGATGTCCCATCCAATCATCCCCTTACCACCAGGTATCGGTCCCCATCCAGCCGCAGCACCTCCTACAGCCGCAGCCGTTCTCGCAGTCGCACCCGCAGCCGTAGCCGAAGCTACACGCCTCCCCGTGCACGCACCACCGCTACTACTGGTCGTGCCCGCTCCCGCAGCCTCTCTCGCTCCCCCCCTCGCCGCCGCTCTGCCCGCGATAAGCTCGCCGCACACGATGCCAGCCCCCACAGGACAGCAGCAGAGACTGCTGCTGGTGGTGGTGGCCTGACTGCTGTGAGACGTACACGTGGCGCTGCAGGATTGGATGGGGAGCAGGGAGGAGGCGAGAGGTCAAGACCTAACAGCGCAGAGGTGGCAGCAGCAGGAGCAGGAACAGGGGATGCTGGAAAGGGGAGAGTGGCTTCCCGCTCCCCAGTGGGACTGAGGTCTCCTAAGGAAGCTAGTGCAGGTGCTGCTGATGCTGATGGTGCTGATGGTGCTGGTGGTGTTGGTGGTGCTGGTGGTAGTGGGGATGCTGATGGTGAGCTCACTGGGCGTTCAGTGCGTCTGGGTGGCAGGGAGGCCAGGTTGAGGAGACAGAGGGAGGATGATGATGAGGAGGAGAGTGACTGATTGCCTGCTTTCTGGCTGCTCTGGTGCCTTGTGCTGCCAAGCTCAAGGATGTGGGTTGGATGCAATACTCTAACCAGTTATTGAAATTGGTGTTTCGCCTGTTACCAGTTTCCAAGACTTGCATTGGGGATGCCGTATTTTTAGAGGCTTCTATGAAGAGATAGTGCATGTCTGAACAGGCAAGCCTTAGGCTAGGTAGGTACATGTCCATGCAAGATCAAGTCATGTTTGGTACTGGGTTGGGGTTAACCTACCGTCATCGCCCGGATATAAGACATATATGTCTTATCTCGTACACGGGCAAAAATGCTTGAGTTATCTTGTAAACGGGATGGTTTAGGGTGTCTTATAAGTCTTATAAATGGAAACTTTTTAAACTACTTAGAAATATTTTCCGTACTTCTTGAAAAAGAGTTCCTCATAATGAGTGTGGATGTTGCGAAGGTGCCACTTCGGCAACCACTGCCCGGGACGCCACGTCATGGAGAACACCTGCAGAGGCAAATTTGGTAGGTCCTGGGTCAGCGCGTGGAAGAATTCGCGCTTCGCAGGGGAAAAAATTTACGCGGTATTTCAACTTTCGCTATAATATATTGAAGTTTCGATTATAAGACATATATGTCTTATCTCGTACACACAAATAGGTGTCTTATAATGAGGCTAGCCTGTTTATAAGAGACACCCGTATAGTAGACAACCCCTGTCTACTATTCAACACTGTCTTATATCCGGGCGTTTACGGTAAGAATGTGCCCATGTGGCATCTTACGATATCAGGAAAACCTCTTGTTAGACTCACGTCATGTCGCACCGCTCTGTAGCGCATGCAACTACATTCAATCGCACCGAAACGCATTGAACCGTAGTTGTCAGAATCTAGCAGCAGGAATGGATGAACTAACAGGATGCAGGAGTACAAGTAGTAAACCCTAATTGGGTTGTACCCCATATGGGCTACCCCACTACAGCCTAGACAACATGCAGTACATATGGTTTGACACACCCCCATAGGCAAAGTGGGGGAGAACAAGGGGTCACACGACCAGTCAAGAAAAGCAAAACAAGCTCAGGGTGGATCACAACGTCACCACACATTCCGAGCACAAGCAAAGGGCCACAGGGCCAGTTCACATGCAGAGATATATATGCAGCAATAACAGTACAGTGATGGCTACCTAGCAAGAGCCAGCATGCATATATATATAGATCACAGTACAAGCAGAGACTACAGCAAGTGTGGAAACGTAGGCACAAGGCCCAACAGAGTACAAAAGCGCTGATGATCACCAGACGAAAGTGCCTTGGTGAATATATCAGCAGTGTTGGCCCGAGTGGCCACGTGGCGAAGACGAAGCTGGCCTCGCTGCTGCAACTCTCGAGCCAGGAAGTAACGCAGAGCAATGTGCTTCGTTTTGTGCTCCAGTCTGTGCTCCTCACACAAGGCAATGGCGGCCTTGTTGTCGACGTACAGCACTGGAGGAGAACGAGGCTGCTCTCCCAAGTCAGTCAGCAGGTAGGTGAGCCAGCGTAACTCCTGTGCAGCCATGGCTGTGGCGTAGATCTCAGCCTCACAACTGGAGCTGAGAACTGAAGACGAGCGTGTAGAATGCCACGAAACTGAACCAGAGCCAAGGCTGAAGGTGTAACCCTGTGACACCGCTGAGTAGCCTGGTCGTCAACCCAAGAAGCGTCTGAGTGCCCAGTGAGGACAACTGGGCTCGTCCCTCCAAGCACTAGCCCCATGCCTGATGTGCTGCACAAGTAGCGCAGTACCCTCTTAGCAACAGCCATGTGCTCAGGTCGGTGCCGACCAGGAGCCACGTAGCGAGCCAGAAGACCAAGAGGTCAGGTCGAGTGCAAGTCATCAGGTACATGAGGCAGCCGACTAGCTCTGGGTAAGGACCACTCGGCTCTACGGACTCGTCCGAAGGTGGAGCTGAGAGCGTGTGACCTGTAGCCAGAGGAGTGGCCTGTGCTGAAGACCAGGTGAAGCCGAAGCGCTGAAGGACCTGCTGCACCATGTGTGACTGAGTCAAGGTGATGGTGCGGCGTGCTCTGTCCCGGGTGATCTGCAAGCCAAGGTAGTTGCGCAGCTCACCCAAGTCTGTGCACGTGTGTCTCTTCTGCAGCTCCGACTTCACGTGGGCGAGAGCCTCAGTGTCAGCAGTGGCAAAAACCAAGTCGTCGACGTACACGAGGATGTAGAACGGCGGCAGTGAAGTGTCGGTGCGCAGAAACAGCGACGGGTCAGCAGTAGAAGGCGCGAACCCAAGAGCCGCAAGCGTAGTCCTCAGTGTGTCGTGCCACTCACGTGGCGCCTGGCGAAGACCGTAGACCGGCCGCTGGAGGCTCCACTGGGTACCAGGAGGGAACGACCCAGTGAAGCCCGGGGGGCGGCGCAGCCAGATCTCCTCGTGCAGGCTGCCCTGCAAGAAAGCTGTGCTGAAGTCAAGAGAGTGAAGCTCGTAGTCACGGTGAGCAGCAACGTGCAGCAGCACCCGAAGAGTGGTCATCTTCGGGGTGGGGGAGAAGGTCTGGAAGAAGTCAACTCCCTCTCGCTGACTGAAGCCTCGAGCAACGTAACGAGCCTTGAAGACAGGCGGAGAACCTGGCGGCCGCTTCACCCTGAAAATCCACATGCCACTGACGATGTTCGCCCCAGGAGGGGGAACCTCGTCGACGTAGGTGCCAGTGGACTTCCAGGATGCCATCTCTACGTCCATGGCTGTCTGCCACTGAGAGGAGTACTCACCCGCAATCGCCTCAGCGTAAGAGCGCGGGGTCGGGATGTCTGGTGCATCCGGGTCTCCCTCAGGGGCAAGCAGCATGGCAACGAGATGAGGCGCAGCGGCTGCAAGACACTCAAGGTCCTCGTGCCTGTCCTCAAGGACGTCCGTGCTAAGAGCACACTCACCCCCAACGGACGGAGGACAGACAGACTCAGACTCAGTAACAAGACTGGCAGCAAAGTCTAGACGACAGGCAGCAGCAAAGTCAACAAGCTCAGCGACAAGAGCAGACGCAGCAGCAGACTCAAACGACGGGTCAGTGACAACTGTGGCTAGTAGACGCGTGACAGTAGGGTGCTCAGCACGAAACCGGTCAGACGCAGGGTCCGGAACGTCAGGCAAAGAGGACGCAGGAGGAGACGGCAGAGGAACAGGCTGTGGAGCAGAGGAAGGACGACGGACTACGAGGTGTGCGCTGGGGACAGCCGGCTGACGCGAACGAGGAACACGACGACCGGTACGACTAGGACGAACAGGCGAAACAGGACGCGACGCAGGCTCACGACGCTCAGCAGGACTACCAGTCTGCACAGTGTAAGGAGAAGGAGCAGGCAGCGGTGAGCCAGGCTGTAACGGAAGACCAGTAGACGACGGGAGAGTAAGAACCTGATGAAGAACAGAGTCAGACGGCGGCAGAGACGACGGAGACGGCGGAGCGAAGAACAGTCGTGTCGGCGCAGCTGCACCAGTACCGGCAGCTCCAGCAGCTCCAGTGCCTCCAGCAGCTCCAGTACCTCCAGCAGCTCCAGAAGCTCCAGTCCCAGAGCCGACACCTCCAGTCCCAGGGTCTCCAACCTCTGTGTCTCTAGCAGCAGCACCCCCAGAACCAGCACCTCCAGTCCCAGGGTCTCCAGCCCCAGGGTCTCCAGCCTCAGTGTCTCCAGCAGCAGCACCCCTAGAACCAGCACCTCCAGTCCCAGGGTCTCCAGCCTCAGTG